ATATAAACCATACGTCTCCGATCCCGGAGCCCCCGGCAGGAAGTGGTTAAGCACGTACAGTGTACATGTACATGGCTGTTGAATGAATCCATGCATAATATATCAGGCAGGCATGCATGAGGGTCAGTTCCACATAGCTGCGTAGAAATTTACCATTAATCAGATGCAAAAAAAAATCTGCTTAGCAAAGGAAAGGTTGCCAGCCAAAAATGTCCGGGGTATACTACTTCAGACTGGTCGCCGACCAAGTCTAACTTAGTAAATCAATTGGGTGTGCAAAACTTACTGCTTAGCGATTCCATAAAATAGACCTTATTCATGAGGCACCCATTCTAATCTTATTCCCTGAATCTCTTTATAAGCTGTGAACTGTTGAATGGAATGGTACCAAACTATTTTATGATCGCTGTACATTCCAAGCCTCCCTTTGAATATTTTTCAGAATCTAGCTTAAGACACTAATGTACGTTTCACAAACTTTAATTGCAAATTTGAAATAGAGGGACTGTGTTCCACATCCTTTCAATGGTTCCTTACCATGTTAAACTATTACCGAGTACCAATTGTGTATCTGAAGAGTAGACAGGTACCAATTTGTCATGAAATTTCATTCTACTCTCAATTTCAATTCACCTGACTCATGAATAAAGTCTAAAGGGTTTCTGCTTCCATTCTAATAAATCTTGGGACAGATGTTTGATTCTTACTTGTGAAAGATGATGGAAGTGGACTGACTGATTTCCTGAGGCGAAGTGGAAAGAAAATGCTAATAAACATGTGCATTGTATGTTGCCTCAACATAAGCTAAAACTGCTGTTTTCTAAACTGAAGCAGGGTCATTCTAAATTTTGAAAGCCTTCCTAATGATATGGCTGACAACACTGAGGGAATTATAAAATTAACCACAGCTGAGGAAGATACAGAGTTCTGTTTGTGTTCAGTTTTGTTTAACACTCACTTGGACAAAGGTCACTACTGAAACCTAAATATATTCAAAATTTCAGATCTGCTCACAGCATTGGCACCAGCACAGTAACAACCATGCAAAGGGGTGGTTTGTTAACCAGTTAACATCAGATTTTCTTACCTGAAAAAGCTGCTAGTAGCAGTTTTTTTACCCACAAATTCTGCAATCTTGCAACTGTGCGTTGACCCAACATCGCACAAAGTTTTAATACGTCAATCGTGAAAATGAAAAAAGAATCCGAGTGTACACGTCCTCCAAGGAACAAATAAAGAAATTATGTGTGTTCATGCATCACCCGGCATCAAGTGGTTAAGCTGGCCCAATGTTGAAAACTGTTCACAGTTTTTGGAGGTACACTGAGGGATGAATGGCTACAGCCAGAGCAATATATAGCAAGACCAAGAGTCACCATTGGAAACAAACTGGCAGGTGTATGTGTCAGTGCAAACAGACAGTAAGTATACAATAGTTGCACACTCCACTGTACACATAATGAGCAGCAATTCTGTTTCCAAAATCTGAGGCTGGCACTACTCTGTAGAGTTGACAACTGCTGCAATTTGAGCTTTGGTTTGCTTGACAGTACTTTGTTCTCTGCAGGCGTTGCGTCTCTCAAACATTAGTTGGTGTCTGAAGGTCCTGCATTTCCTGATCACTGACTTCAGCACACTTCGTGTCCACGGTCAAACCACTGCACTGTCCTCTACCCAGCTTTCCGGGCTTCGGTGCATCGGTCTCTTGCATCTCCATTGGCTCCATGAGATCCAGCGGGCCCAAGTCGCTGCTGCTGCCCCCTCTCAACTTCCTGGGGGTGGAGTCCCTGCCCTCCTCCTCGCCGTCCAGGTAAGCGGGCCCAATGCTGTCCTGGCCATTCCCCACGTCGTACCCCCGCCCCCGGTCCTCTCGCCGCACTTTGTCAATGAAGGCGCTAAAGTCAAAGTTGCCCGGACTGCTCTCGGTGGGTGAGGGCAGGGCACTGGAGGTGTTGGAGGAGGGGTTGCTGGTGGACCGGCTGTACAGGGAGCCGTCCGACTCCCGGCCAAAGGACAGTGGGGTGGGTTGGACCCGCCGGGGGGTGAAGGTGTTCAGCTTGAAGGACTGGCGCGGCGTGAAGGTCTCTGGGGTCCGGGCCCCATTCTGGGTGAAGTTCGCCAGGAAGGCGTCCATCTGCCTCAGGGACAGGTGGTTGTGGAGTGTCTCCAGTGGAAGGATAGATGGCACCTTCATCTGGTGATCAAGTCGTACTCCTAAAAAAACAAGAATAAAATTGACATCTCCCAGTGAGGCATGAAAGAGAAATCAGCTATTTTGCTCAGATGCAAAATTTTTATAAGGCACAGACAATGAAGTAGATATCTGATAGGAAACCTCAAAATTTTTCTTGATTTCTTGGATACAAACAAAATGATACTTGAAACCCCCTGTTTTCTGTTAAAAATATAAATGTGGACTACTCCAAATATCTGAGGTAACTCTTTCACTCTTCTCACAAACCCATTTCCCACGACCCCCTTTAAGAAATATTGCACAAAAATTATTGACCAATTACTTTGACCTCTTCAGTCAAAAACTAATCTTGCCAACCTGCATCATTGTATTGATATTAACCCCTTTATCCAGGAACCGTCGACAGCCACGGTTTTGTGTCAGGATTAGTGCATACCACACATACATTCTATTCATCATGTACCTGCGGTTTCAATGTGGGCCTGCTGCTAGACAGAGTTTGCACACTGGGCTTACCGCAGCCCAGTTCACAGGCAAAAGAATCCCGGTGTGAAGGGGTTAAAGAACCACAAATGTCACACAACCTAACACAGGAACGCAAGAATTTCTGCATTTATTTTTAAACTTGTTTCTTTGCATTCTAAGTTGGAAGAGTTGGTCAAAACTCCTCATGCAGACACATTTGAGAAGTAAGCTGCTACACGTTTGAACCACCCTGAGCTGGCCATGGATGTATCAGCAATTGAAATTTGCTGGACCGACTGACCGCTTTTCTGAACACCATGCCGTTAATGGTGCAGCAGTTTGGGCCATCTAACCTTGGGCCGAAGAATGGGAAACCCGTCGCAGCAGGTCTTCCTGACTGACCACCCAGTTGGCATCGTTGGGATTGGAGTCTTCCATTCCAAGGAAGGTCGGGGCACTGTGGACTCCCAACAGTCCACTCCTGCTGCCACTGGCTGATATGTGGTCTGGATAAGTGACAAACAAAATCCCCAATCTTAAGCAAACCATTCCAAGGGAAAATGAAATCCAGCATATGTCAAAGATTCCGAAACAAATATGACAACCAAATTCAATGACTTGCCAGGACTAGAATGTGACAATTTCAATGCCATTTTACCAAGTAAAACTGTTTAGTAATATGAACTAAAGTCAGCCATAGCCACTACTTACAGACTGACAAGGATATAGCCTGTAAATTTATGATTATTCCATTATCACATCAAAATGGCTCATCAAAACAACCCTTGCATAATCTTGATTTCAACGATTTTCCTGTGACGTTTTTCCTCTGACAGGACTGCAGGACACCCTATTTTTTTGCTAAATTTCAATGACTTTTCCATGACTTTTCAGATAAGTTTTTTTAGCTTTTTCCATGAACATGAGAACCCTGATGTGTGTAATTTCTTTCACCGTCACTTGCGGCAATCTTTGCTCGAAACAATGAATTTTCAGAGTGAAATTATTTTGATGCTTTTGAAAATGGATATGGTGGCGTATGCAACACACCATACAATGGAAATGGAAAAAGGCGCATTCTAAAAATGGCTCATTGTCATTCCATCAAGTTATGAAATTAAAGGTTCCACAAAAATGCATAGTAAGTTGCCGAAAGGCCCGAGGAAACTTAGAAAGAAAAGGCAAATAAGAAATTTTTTGCCATATTTCCCTCCCCTCCAGAACCCTTTCAACCCACCCTAGCTTCTTGGCTACTGACCTTCCGAGTCCTGTGTGTCATGCTCGCTGATATCTTTCAGCGTGTTAAAGCTGGCCCTGGAAGGGGTCAGGGCGGGGCCCGAGCTGGGCCGACCGGCATCCCTCTCCCTCAGCCCCAACCCAACCTTCAGCACGTGGTCTGCCCTCCAGCTCCCCTGCGTCGGCCAGATGGCGGTTCGGTCATCACAGGGCCTATCCTGGGCCACATCCTGCTGGTTATTCGGGCCTGAATAGTCCAACCCCACCAAGGAGGACGTGGGTGTGCTGTCATTGCCGGTCACCGAGAACGCTGGGCTGTCGCGGGTGACAGTAGTGTCATCGAAAGTACCATCTGGTTCGTCGTTCTCCGAGAGGGGCTCTGTGGGTGAAGTGTCTCCCTGATGGAAAGGGAATCAGGCAGATGTATATTGACCCCTCTCATATTGCCTGCTGTTCATATGGGTGGCTACAGTTTGCAGATATGTTACCCTCACTCTGTGACAGATTTAAATTTTACCTCAAAATGTACATAAGCCCCATTACTTTTAAAGAGGGTCGCATTTTCATTTAGATTTTAGCAGGGTAGTTTACACATATGGACAGGCGATGAGGTCAATGGTGCATGTCTATACACATGGGAGGGGCTTGGAAGTGCACTAGTGACCAAATTAAACCAGTCCATGTGTGTGTTATAACATATCTCTGTAGAAAACGTGAAATAGGGAAACAATTTTTTAGGCTTTTATAAATGAAGTGTTTTAATTCAACCATGCAACTAACAGCCAATCCAACAAGCAATTCGATGATTAAAGGTCAAGGAATGCTGTTAGTTTCCCTGGATTCAGTTTTTGAGTTCACTATTCTCATCTGGTGAGGGCGCTTTATCAGTCGGATATAACATCGAGACTGGAAGTTTTTGCATTCCGATTCATACTTAAACAGGTGCTTCTGTGTGTCTTATAATTTGCACTGATCGTTGGACAACCTTTTAAATTTGTTTCTTTTTATGACATGAAACCATCCCACAGGAGTTCAGAAATTGGGAGTAACAAACCCCAATCAATAGGTGACATTTCAGCTAACTATAGTCAAACCTGCCCAGAAAGACCACTCAATGGAAACAGAGAAGTGGTCTTCATAGACAGGTGGTCTTTCTATACAGGTAGTGGTGCGTGAACATGTACATGTTCATAAAAGTTGTTTCAGTCAAACCCGCCTTATTTAATGACCGTTGTGTTTTTACATCTGTGCCAAATAAAGGTACATGTAGATGTACATGTTTATTATGCATATGAGAGAATTAGCTATGCTGGAGCAGCGCATTACGGGCACAACGATGGAGACATTTCAAACTCAGTGCCATATTACGTTGGCCCTGAAAAGAGCTGTTTGGTTTGTTATTGGCTCTGAAAAAAGCCATTGGGTTTGATGTGGCCTTTCTGGCACAACAGCTTGAGTGTTCACTTCAAACTTTTGAAGTGATGACTGGCCTGCTGCATGACCCTGATGCAGGCTTTCCACCACAACCTTCTCTTCCATGTCCATACAGGCATACACCAGGCCAGCACAAAATTTCATGACAGCAAAATTCCTCCTTTCTGTCAACATGGCTGCAAATTGGACAATTGGACAGTCCTCCTCGTCAGTGTTAGAGCCTTCATTGTCATGGCATGCATGGAGGCGTTGCTGAAGGTCAGCCATGGATGTGACTGGATTGTTGTCAGCTGTAGTCAGTCCATCTAGAACAGTGAGTTCTTGCAGGGAAATGTTAAGTGCGTTGCGACAAGCAGACTCCAGAGCATCATCTTCTTTTCCTACTGTTTCCTCTTCTTCAGTGACCATGTCTGCCCCAGTCCCATATTTTTTAAAGCACTTTTGGATGGTTCTGCTGTCAACATCCTTCCAGGACTGGTCGACCCAACAGATGGTTTGAAGGATGTTTGTTCTTTCAACAGCCAGTCATTTCTTTGTTCATCTCCAAGTTCTGCATTAGCTGCTTTTCCCTGAATTTGAGTTTAAGTACTTGGATGATGCCTTGGTCCATGAGTTGTGTAACCGAGGTTGTGTTTGGTGGCAGAAAGATGAGCTTAATGTTTTCCAGCTGCAGGTGTGAATGACAGGTGGTACTGTCCAGCAACATGAGAATTTTTTTCTTCTGGCAGCCCATCTTCTTGTCCAGCTTCTTCATGTACACCTCAAACACGTTACTGGTCATCCAGGCTTTTTGTTGGCATGGTAGTCTATGGGTAGATCCTCTTGCTGCAGTCTACCAAAGCAACAAGGTTTGATTGACTTGCCGATGATGAGTGGCTTTTCTTTCTCCCCAAGGGTGTTGGCACAAAGAATCACAGTAAGTCGTTCCTTGGAACGCTTGCCCCCAGAGCAATCGGGAATCAAGGGATGCTTTGAATAAGAGCCCATTTTCATCCATGTTATAGATGTCTCTGGGATCGTAGCCAGCACAAAGTTCAGGGACTTTCTTCAGCCAGTTATCAACAGTGTTGTTCTCCACACCACGATTCTCACCACACATCTTGCCATAAACGATGTTGTACCCTTTCTTGAATGACTCGAACCACCAGTTCGATGCCTGGAAGTTACAAACTCTAAGCTCTTTTGCAAACTCCAGGGCCTTTTCTTGAAGTGGTCCAGAAACCGGAAACAGTCGCTCTGTGGCATCCTTGAACCATTCTCACAGGAGAGCGTTGATTTCTTCATCGCCCGTCTTGTGAATTTTCCTCCTCCGATCAATAGGAGCATTCCCTTCAAATTCCTCAATCCACTCACTTTTCCGCTTCACGAAGTTCTGGATCTACATCTTCCCGCAACGATGGCCTCGCATTCCCCAACTCTCAACAATCAAACAGCAGACCATCTTCTTGTCTTCTTGTCCATTTTCATTTCCAGTGGAAGTTGATTCCGGAAACTCTTTACGGGATTCGAGCTTGAAGGATTCGGAGCCAAGTTTTCTCCTTTTCAAAACCAATGTTGTTGTAATGAAATTGCTCAAATTGGCAAAACGATATGAAGAACTTAGACGTATGTCTGTAAAGTTGTGTAAACACAATGTGCGACGAAAGCAACCACGAGTAAGACTTTAAGGTTGTTAGGTCAGCCCAGTGTTCTAAACCGTAAAACTCTATTGGGCAAATTTAAACTTTAAATGAACCTGAGATAATTGTAAAATATATTAAAAAAACATTTTTTTTTTCAAAATCCATAATTCTACGGTAAAAAATTGAATTTTCAAAATTTTTGAGCCATTTTGAATAACGTTTTGTTTGAACAAGACTATTCAGAGGTCAGGGGTCACATATAATGTGCATGCATGAATGCTCAAGATCACGTGTGGTTGAGGTTGTGAAATGTATGTGCACTTATACATGAGGCCTTGTGGGGAACCGGAACAATGGGAAGTACCCCACAAGGCCAGTTCTTACCTTAAATTGGTATCCCACAAGAATTTCACAAAACTGATATTTGGAAATGACTCAAAAAGGGGAAATTTTTGATGGGTAAAAATCTGCCACAAATTGAGGTGTTTTATATAAGGGACATACAGTCGAAATTTCAACCCAGGAAAGGGAATTTGGTTTAAATTGGAGCGATTTGAAATTTTTTGCGTGTTGTGTGGGAGTTTTGTACACGAGAACGAAGGAAATACCCCACAAGTATAGCAGTGTAAGGATGTGTGCCCATGCAGGGGGCTCGGACCAAGCGCTTGGCTGGTCTGACAACAAAAGCGTTATTGTGGATGCAACTTAAGACCAAGGATAAACTGAAAAGATCCTGGAAGCATGGCTGGAAGTGACCCCGGTGATGATCACTAATCCTTTTAAGAACTGTAGTTTGTTTGGCTTTTTGAAGTCTCAGAAATCAAACAATGATTGTGACAGAAGTGTTTTGCAATGGTTGCTTTTTATGGCTTTCGATTTGCGGTCGTTGTGTACAGGCTTTACTGCCCGTGGGGATGCAAAAAGGGGCGGTCGCTGGTCGCGTTGTGCAGGGGGTCATTCTACACAGTATGTAAACAATAGTTTTTACATGTGGGGATTTGGAAATGGTCGTTAATGACAGGCGGATGTTAAACACAGGTGGTCGCTTAGGCAGGTTTGATTGTATTTCAAGTCGGCTTGAGAAACATCAAACAGTCAATTTAGACAACTTGAGTCGTCAAAGTCACCAGCCACTTGAAAAGCACTAAGAAGAAATGATTATTATCTCTTTCTGTTAAAATTGTAAAACAAAATGCTCTTGTGTATTCTCCCAAAGTCTCCACTTTAACCACTTCCTGCCAAGGAGCCCGGTATCGGAGACCTTGGCCGTATACGCATGGCTGGGGTGCCCGAAATAGGAATTTGCTTTATAAAAAAATAAAGTTGCTCGGCATTTGTACAAAAAGTTTACTTGCTGTCATTCAGCTGCTGGGACTTTCCAATTAACCACTTCATGCCGGGGCATATGTCAATGTTGATGATGCTGGGCCGACATGACTATCATTTTTTCCGTTTCAAAAACCTTCAAAAATTCATCATTTCATTTAACGGTCGTTTATAGCCGCACCNTGTCTGCAGAGTACTGGCCATTTTTAGCAGAGGTAATCCATCATTGTTTTGAAACAGTACCATTGTTTGCTGCTGCCAGTACCCGCGGATTATCAACGGGGACAAAAGCGCTCCAGCACTCCAGCAATGAGCAATACGTTACCACTGGGCGCTCATGGAATCTGGCCGTATTAGTAAAGACATCACCGCCGTCCAGCAATGCATTGGGCCAATTTCCAGAACAAAGAGGAAATTATGAAACACTGCACAATGGGGGCTCTTTACTGGGCTGCAGGCATGGCTGCAATACTCAAGCGTCAATGGAGGTTGCCTGTCAGATTAGACAGTCATTTATTTGGCTGAATGCATCCAGTAAATGAAGATATGAATTTTTGAATAATTTTGGAAACGGAAAAAATGAAAAAGCGCCCGGCAGCGGGTGATGCATGCCGTTAACTCCAACCGGCAGGAAGTGGTTAAGAACGTCAATGATACCAGTACATTCTGCTTTGTTTGTTCTAAGAGCAGAGCTCAATGGAGCCACTTCATGCACAAATTCACTGAGCAAATAGATTCAAAAAGACTCAAGGTTTACAGCTTGAAAACGATTCTCAGCTGATTTGTGCTTGCTGCTTAAATTTGCTCAGCAGTTTCTCCCCCTCTTGTAGATTATCAGGACGTCAGCCTGGGCCACAGTGAAAGAGCTAGCCTGAACTCACCTTTGCCGAGCGGTAGCCACCCACCGTGGGGTTGTCAGTGGCATTGCAGCCCTTGGCACCCGAGCTGAAGTGCAGCTCCACCCGGAAGCGCTCCTCAGACATGGGCTCCTTGCTGGGGTCCTCATACAGCATGAGGACGATCTGGGTCATGTAGTTCAGCTCCTTGACTTCCCCGATGTAGGCCATGGCCCGGGCCCACTGGGAATCAGCCCCTTCCTGAGCAAGACAAAAGCGGGGGGGGGGAGCAGTCAGATGAGAGACCACAGTGGGTTACTGGCACAAAAATCAAGTAGCATGAATATCCCATGCTCAAAAGAAGCAAAAAAAGAGATAACTTTTCTTGGAAAAAGACTACACACTCTTCCCTAGAAAAATTTCAGTGCGGCCTACTTTCTGGCAGGACAGCTGAGCCAGAGCAAAACAAACTGATTATTGACAAGTGATTTTTGACTGAAAAAATGTTTTAAATGAAAAAAGGAGAAAGGTGAAATAATACTATTTCTCAGTGTTTTGCCAAATTTTTTTTTCAGTCAAATCTTCAAAATGGCCACATTATTAAAAAACTTGGTGCCAGGCAGCAAGCTTCATTTCCACCCAGACCGATGTAAACTACGATCCTGCCTGTGACTTATGAAAGTATCCCCGACTTACGTTGCACAGTCCGCCATATCGCAGGCAGGACAGCAGCGAATGGATGTGGCTCTCGCTGGTGAAGTACAGTCGGGTTCTCACATGGCGATCTGGGGACATGACCCCCTTGGAGTATTTTGGGTTGAGACGGAACGTGGTCTCTTCCTCAAAGTTGATGCGCTGCAGGTCTGCGCGAATCTTGCGCAGCAAGGGTGTGCAGATGCTGGTGCCTATCTCCAGTTTCTCTTCCTTGGAGATGCCATACTCCTGAGACAGCAAAAACATCATCGTCTAAACATATTTTACATTCCCTTAAAGACACTATATCTTGGGCTTCATCAAGGTGCATTTTTAATATTTTAAATAGTGCCATCCAGCGCCAAGTGACATCTCTGGTACTGCTCCTTTCAGAGTGCCATGGTTGGTAACGAGCAACACTTTGCCCTTGAGTGATTAATAGTGGTGGGATCTGTTGTGTTGACCGTACATCAGGCTAGTGCCTACGACTGCAAAGCAGTTTGACGAGCACATGTCTTTGAGCCTAGTCTTAATAATTGTAAAAAGTACACAAGATGTGAAGATGCTTTCGGCAACATTAGATCATGTTCAACTGCGCAAACTCACTGCATCCGTGTTTGCATCAGTCGCGATTAAGCATTTTTCACACAAACGCACATCATCAGGGACTGTTTGGCAGTGCTGTCAGTGTTTCTTAATGTTGATATGGGATCAAGGCTTTACTCGATATCTTCTCTGTATCTACAGATTACACAAGAGGATTAAAAGCACATAGGTTCAGTAAGACAAGTAGGGCAAATAACAGAACATCGGATATCACGTCCAACAAAAAGACAACAATTTGGGGGATGGGCCCTCAGACAATTTCACTGTGATAATCATTGTTGGAGTCAAGACCTCTCAAGACCATCACAAGGTCCAACAAGACCTTCACAAGAGCGACACAAGACCAACGCATGACCTCCAGTCTAAATTCAAATCACAAGCCATTCAAATGAACAGCAAAATTAGCATTCTTTTGTCACTGTTCACCCTGGTACTTGTGACTGGTCTTGTGAGTGGTGTTGTGCCTGGTCCTGCTACAACACTGGCCATCAGCGATCGTATCAGCCAACAACTGAACCGGTACCAAACTGAAACCTGTAAAAATTTACAGGACGTGAACCTCGGACCGCTCACCTGAGGTATGATGACATCGGCCAGCACCTGCGCCCTGGAGTACAGGTCCCACATCCCCTGAAACCCCAGGGAGGTGATAAGCTTCTCATTGTGCAATAGGTCATACTTGATGCAGTCATAGATGTCCGGGATCTTGGTGATGTCAAATTGGCCCGTTTTGGTCTTGAAGTCTTTCTCCAGTTTAGCCCAGCGCCGCAGCATCAGCTCCAGCGATTCGTTGCTGTACAGGATTAGTTCTGTAGATTTGCGATCCCACCGCACAGAAAAAAGGAAGAGCAGCAAACCTTTGAATTGAGACCAAGCCTTTCACGCTGATGCTTAGTTCATAATCAATTTTGTTGGCTAATGGGCTACAATCAAATATACAATAGAGCCTGTTACTGGCTGCACATCCAATTGTGGCCACTTTTCTTCCCTACATGCTCAATATAAAGACTTCCCTTGCCTGCCAAGGGATAGAATGCTAATTTCCCCCTCCCCATCCCTGAAAATGAACAGCATAAAATGCATGACATATTATTGTCAAGCAGTGATTTTATAAAAGCTGTATTTATCAACAAAAACTGTACTTCCATTTTATTCATGAATTTCATAAAAAAAACAAAAAATTCAAAAATTGGCTCGCAATACTTACATTACTCTACTTCCTTATTATTTCACCCAGAATGTTTCTAATTTTCCTGATTATTCAGCAACCTTTGGAACATTCTTTGCACTTGAAATAAAATGCCTTGAAATATGTCACAGCATTTAGACAAGTCACAACCATCCTCGTAACAGTTAGTGTGAGCGATCCGTCATGCTTCATGAACAATAATGTGACTGGGCGCCTGCAAAGATGATTCTTAAGGCCATTTTTTCAATCATTCTCTTTAACGTTGCATTAAGCACTGAGCCCCGTTTTGATGTATCACTGATGAATCTTGACGAAAATGGCCACGGAGTAGATTGGGTGAAAAATGTTCAGAGTTCCTATGAGCCATGAGCTGGACCAAGAAAGGATGCAAATTTCCTGGCAACAGAGGCTCCTTTGGTGAGAACTGCACTTCACTGGTTAACAAACGACTATGAAATGCACACGCTACAGTTGCATTGCTACAAACAAAGTGAGCACGCAGACCAATATGGCTCTTTTCAACCGATGAGGGGGTGCTTCTGACCAATGTACACGTACATTGTGTGAGATTCTTTTCAAGGCCTTCATCCCAAAAGTAGCTCTGGTGACTTGCAACTCAGTCTCTTGGGTTGGGTCACAAATATCTCAGATGCACCCCCAGACGTTCACGGAGGACCCTGAAAGCATTTAGAGGATTTATTACCTTCCTGGAAAGGTTTGCTCTCGATGCACTGTCGCACCTGATGGGTTAACTCCTTGATGAGAGCGTAGATCTTTTCACACATCTCCATGGGGTTCTGGATGCGAGACAGGGAGTAGAGGAGGGACTTGCTTCCCGTTGGTGCAAGCTGGATACACAAATGGGAGAAAAAAAACCAAACAAGAACAGTAGACTCGTATTCACCAAAACCATGCTAAAACTTAACAGTTTAATATAATAATTTGGGGGGGCAGAAGGTGTTATTTTTATGTTGTTTTCTTTTTTTCTTTGCCAATGAATATGTACTTTTGCAATCCCTAAAAATGTTTGTACAGGGAAATACACACAACATAAAACTGGGCAAAAACTTCAATGTTGGTTAAAAGTCAATTTCCCTGGATGATACCACTTTGCTGATCTTCAGTTGTCCTTTGTCACCTTTGTCCAAATCATGGGTGGAGATTTCTGGTCATATGTGGGGGGGGGATTTCAGCATGGCACATAGTGACTTAAAAAGTGGGAAGGATGATTGTATTGCTAATCCTCCCAGGTCAAAAAGTGGGGCGGATATATTACCCCATCTCCCCCGGCATCTCTGCCCATGGTCCAAATGACTGTGACGTACACGTACTTTGCACCACTCACAAACTGTCATCTGAGTCATTTGCATCAAACTGTGATCACATAATGCAAATGGTCGTTGAAGCTAAACTCAATGCATGGTAAGTCAGATGTGAAACACAAGCCCCATGCAACAGACCTTTGCAGCAACCACCAAACCTTATGCCATAGATCAGGAAAACTGACACTTTAACACTTGAAGTTAGATTTCAAACACATACATGTATCAATACATATCTTTCCGTATAAATCGTAACTTTGGTGACCCACTGGATAGAATGTATCAAAAATCAATTTGGCTGTTACATCAGGGGGACATATTTCTTGCCCTTTGCCTTGGGTGTCATGTATGCCAAGAAGAAGCCAAGAAGAAGAAAAAATTGCCACTGCACGAAACACAAAATTTTAAGCAGAGATAAATTCATTCCAACTCCTGTAAGTCTGATAATACCTCCTGTTTATCCTCTTCACTGAAGGTACCATTTTTGCGAAATCGGTCATACAGTGTCTCCTTCACCCTGAAAGGAAATTGGAAATACAATATGTGAGTCCAAAAAAGGGGAAAAAATCACACAAGAGGATTGTAGTATTACTCCAATGCAACTGAATGACCCCGAGATGAAATGGCGTATGACCAACTGGTACTCCAGAAAGTGTCAATGATGCATGATGCCAAATTCTCACTGACTCAACCTCGTTCCCATGGGTACAATCTTGCCATGCCAAGTTGGTTCCCACCATGCCTTGCACAATCTAACCCCCATATTGTAAGATTTAAATATGCCGCTAGTTGAGAGATTTAATTAAATTAGGACTGTGGTTAATGTTTTATGCTTGACACAGATTTACGCCCAGGAGGAGAATGCATGGGTGCGAGCATGTAGCTTTTGCAATATAGTACGTGTGCAATTCACTTTACATTTACATATATTCATCCTGAATAGCTAGTCAGCGTCATTTTCGTATTCTACACAACCAGGGGCTGGTGAAGGATGCGCATGCAGCAAATGGCGTTGAGGTTGTCACTGACTGGTCTTAACGGGGAGACATTTAGGGTACCCAGTTTTATACATGAAAGCTGCCAAGCCAGAAATACAACTCAGCCAATTCATTTGCTGGGAACAAATCAGCTACAAAGCTGCAACAAGCAATAAAATGCAGATGGGGATGTGTGACATCGTGGTTAGGGTTCACAGATTCCGGTCAAAGGATTGGTGGTTCGAACCCTAAAAGGTGGTGGAAATTGCAACCTTGGGCAAGTCAGTTTAACCCAATGTGCCTCTTTCCACCCAGGAGTAAATGGGTATCTGTGAGGGCAATTTGCATCGGGCTACTATACTCCCCAGGGAGCTGAGATGGTTTCAGGAATGTTCAGATATTGTGCGCCCAATGAGCAGGGAAAATGATATTACCACATTTCACCTTTGAATGACACATACCATTAGACAATGTATACTTTATGAATGCTGTGATATTGTCCTGTTTATCATTATAAATTTATCATTGTTATTTTTCAAGGCATTAATTTATCAACTGGCCTGTTCTTTTTGCCGAACACAAGTTTGCACAAACTTTGCCAGGTGAATCTCAAGGCTTAACAATTCGGCAAGACTGGTCTCTGTTTCTACAATACCCCACAGGATGAGGGAAAATGAGACCGTAATCCAAGTGACTAGGCGACTGCATGCCCATTCCCAGATGTGTCAAAGAATGCAACATAGTGTACCCAGTTGGCCATTTCAGACCCAATTTCAAGAGCCACTGACCAGAATACTGGTATATTGCATGCTTAGCCAAAAATCAGCAGAGAACCAGTTACATGCAATGTACAATTCATGACATTTTGGCTGGTAAGCTGCTTCTGCTAACAAGTTACTTTCTGTGCTAAGTACATTTGTTTGCTATGCTGCTCTATGAAATTGGGCCCAGGTAGCCAACAATTCAATGGCATCAATTAAGTTTCAGAGGCCACAAAAACAAAGCCACCATCACGTCACAAGTGGCCGGCTTCTGTACTAGTGACAGTAGGCAATCCTGAAGCCTAGTCAACAAAGTGCCGGGAAGTCACTCAAAGACCAGATGTCGGTGTCTAAATTCTGCAACATTAAGCTCAATGGAGGAGCTTGGTTCTTGGCCATATTTTGGGTACATGGGCTTAGTCTTGATGGCCATAAGCAACTCTAATTGTATCAATGCAGTATGAACAATGACAACTGTAGTGAGAAATGTAATCTTACAGATTTGCAGTACTTACTTGATACAGTATCATCTTGGTAATTTTAAACTTTTTACATATTTTCTTGCATGTGGCTTACATATTTTTTTAATGTAACCAGATGGATGGTTTGTTGAGGAAACCCAAAGTTTTGAACTCTGCAAGAAGGTTGATATGATATCCATGGTAACATGATTTGTTTCACTATGAGAGCAACATACCAAGCCATTGAAAAAGAATCAACTTCTGGGGTCCTGTGAATGTCACAGTTGGAAATCACAACATGACAGTACAAGCAGATGAATAAACTGTAACTTGATGAGAAACCAAAACTGAAGACAACTTTGTGTGGCATGAATCTGGATTTCACTTTTTGGTGTGGATGTGTAATGTGCTTTATTTTAAGGATGGTGTGAGAGCTTATAAAAAAAATTGAGCAAAAGTTCAAAGATCTGTGAGATCATCTCTCAAAAGATTATAGCTCACATCAGTACAGTGTTCGGGGAAAAAATTTTCCTTTTACTTAGAATCATAAGTTACCATTTTGCAACAAATCAGCTTTGAAAAAAGAAGCTTTATACATAGCATATAAAGGAAATAAAAATAAAGTTAAAGTTAAAGAAAAGGAGAGTTCTTGTTACTCTTGAAATTTATGAATATTCTGTGAAAAAGCAGAGTGTAAATCCTGTCAATTTTAATGGTAATATCTGAAACTAATTGGAGAGATTCACTCCACTGTACATGTAATTAGTCCATAACAAGTCCATAAAAAAGGAAATTTAAACAAGTTAATTCTCAGAACTTCCTTTTTACTACAGCCATAATTTCAAAGTGACATTAATAAACACAGTGCAGTCAAACATCTCCTTTTTCCACAATTTCCATTTTAAATCATTGCATTTTTTAAAGGATTTTCCTGACAATTTCTATTGCACAATTCTCACTTTTGTGAAGGAGTAAAATGAAGTGTGTGAGCTTGCAAAGTCCACATTCAACTTGTGACAAAAAAGGTTGGTTTTTTTTTTTCTGAAGACAAAATTACTTTGTTGAAAGAAAAATTCAATCTTTCATTTTGTACATTCTATACAGAGGTTCACACCCAATGGAATGTACCACTGATCACGCAAGAAATATGGCAACAGAGGAGTAGAAATGACAAGTCAAAAACTCAGCTGACCAAAGGAGAGAGATAAAATGTTGCAAGAGGGATTTCATGAATGGAGCTCAATGTGAGGTGGTCAGATAATGGTTCATGTTGCTGAAAAGAATTATGTTTGTTATACCTGTGGTGTACTAAACGAGTATAGAGGATTTCATCCAGTGCAGTTGATCTAGGAATTAAAAGCCAAGAGATACCTTATCTCAATGATGGACTGTTTCTTAAAGTCTGACTCTACTTTAAAGGGTGCTTCATTGGCTTGGCATTAATGCGTTGAATGCATCTGCTTGGGTATCAGTCACCAAACACCACTGATTTCAGACTTTGAGACTTCCATTCACCAAGTTGGCCTGACCTGGCTGCAAAATTTCTGCCCAATACTACATGGTGAAAAGTTCACACATGCATGGTGCCAATGTGTTACCGGTACTTTGAATTTTGAAAGAGCTTGGTATCTGGCCACGGCAGGACTTATGTCCAGAAACTATCTTGTGAACTTTTCCCTCTGGAGGATGGAAGTAAACCTTTCTATGCACTTGCACATACAAGGCAAAACAATTCTGCCTTGCTGTCCAAGCATTTTGGGGGGAGATGTAATTACATGTACACAGGGGAACACGTCCCCCACCCAACTGGAGGTCAGTGCCCCTCCCTTCCCCAGCTGCCACCCAATACGAAAGTAAAAAATGTACACCACCTACATACACAAGGTGTAGTTAATTTGCTATTTATAACCACTTGAAACAATTTGTGCCCCCCCCGAGACTTCACTTAAGTTACACTAACGATTTTGAGCCAAGTATACATGAATTGATTGTGAAGGATGAAAGCTGAATGACCGGGTAGACAGACTTACTTTCCCTGGATGGTGACTGAGTCCTTCTCGTGGTCCAGCAGGCCGTTGGTGTTGGCGCTCTTGACCATCTGGACAAGGATTGGGGTGAGTTCACCCTCCAAGGCCAACATGCCCTGTGACCAAATGCAAACGGAAAAAGTGCATCATCATCATTACCAATGCTCAAGCCAGATTATCTGGCGAAGAGGTCACACTTTTCACAAGGCGGTCACCATCTGAAGTGGTCTTGCATGAGGTTGCCTTGCTTGGGACCAGGAAATACCCAGTGACTTGAAGTTGCGGGCTGCGCAGCTGGACCACCTTCGTCCCGGTCCTCTCCATGGGCATTGTCAACTGATAGCAGATTGGTCAAAATGTAGGATAAAAGCGTATGCAATACCAGTAATGAAGGCTGGGCAGGAGGTTTTAAGCTCCTGAACACCAACCTGTCCTCCTAAATGACACTCACCAGAGTACACAATAATACTAAATGCTGCACTTCTAAAAGTGAATAGGATTTTCTGCAGATATTTCAGTGCCAATGAGAGAAACAAGGGAATCAGCTGACAAGGGGAAGTACCAATAGAAGGTCAATGCAAAACCTTATCCCATGTATAAAAATGACTAAATAAATTTCAGACTACATGTAGCCACTGCAAAGGCACCCGTCCCACTTTAAAAGTAACTTCCTTAACCATCCCTACCAGGCCTGCCGAGGCATGCATAGACCTGCTTGTCCAACTTTCACACTGTTCCCGTTGTGAATGCACTGACCAATGACAGAGCAACACTAGCTCATGCACATCCACTATGACTGAGCACTAACCTTGGTGAATGCTGCCGCAGTCATCTGGACCCGGCCCTCATCCGACGCATAGATTTTTAGGTCATGGCGGTATGTACTGTGAAGGCGCAGAAGCCCACAGCCAGGGAAACCGGCATACTCTCCTGCAAGGCAACGGAAACAAAAAAAAAACCCTTAGCAAAACAGGACAGTACAATGGTATTGTACTGGCTTCTCACAAAAGTCGGGAGAGATTTATGCATGTGCACAGTGCAGAATATACACACCTACACTGCACTTTTCAACTGAACAAGCACCAATTCACAGAAACTCTGAACAAATGCAAGACTAGAGCGTGGAGATATCTCATGCTTCCTATTTTTATCACTGACAGCACCCAAAATAAAATCAATGCTTTATTTTAATGTTTGCTCCAAGAAATAAATCAAATAATAAGAAGACATAAAAAAGACAAAAATTTCATCTACATGCACTTGAAAGTTACATTTGCATTTGCATGCATTTGTCTCATACTGACTGGAAAAGACACTGGAATGTGTAGACACATTTAACCCCTGGAGGAAAAATGGTTGACAGTGTTTGGCAGTGATGAAATCCTCCCTGTTTTACGTACCTTGGCCACCAGGGTAGATGCAGCGGAAGGCCCGGCCCAATTCCTCGGCTTGCTCCCTGCCTGCATCTGTCAGCTCGCCTCCCCACTTCAGGATCAGCAACAAGGATGGGTCTGCCTTACAGTCTGATTGACACATAGGTCAAAGAAGAAAAGGGTGTAAGAGAAAACTTCTTGGATCGGCACTGAAAATTGTAAAGTAAGGAGGAGGCTATTAAGGGAAAATGTATGTGTTAAGATGGAAAGAAATACGGAAAGAATAAAGCAGTGATTTACACACCAAAATAGCAATGGTCGATGCCTTCAATTTTCATACTGTCATAAGCAGCATATACTCAAGCTTTCCAAAAGATTTTATAAAAATTAAACCTGATTTAGCTGATTTAGGTGGAGCTAAAACCTCCAACCACTGGCTTATGAGGACAAGCTCTACCATTTCAATACCCAGCTTGATATAAGTCTCAAATATTGTGGGTAACGCAAATCAATTACTATGGTCCACATCAATAAAGAACAAAGCCCAACACTGAAGGTCACAAAGCCTGAGGCAATTTGGCACCGTTCAGACTTAATTACTTGGAACAGCACCGAGAATCACCTTTCAATTTTGTTTCAATCAAGAAGGCAATAAATCAACGGGCACAACAGCACCAATGCAAAAGACCTATGACCGGACTACAACTGCCTGTTAACAGCCAGAGCAAGTGACGGCTGGCAGTCCCAAATTTTTGCAATCCTTCATTGTGCATGTGGTCTAGACCTACACTTCTCGGGGAGACCCTGCCATTTGAACTTATCCCTCCAGTTTGTGACAATGCACACTGTGCATGAATGAGACGGGGTGCTTTGTTGGCTTGCAACTATGTCCCATGAGACCCCCAAACTTATATGCATATACATGTATGGGGCACTGAACACGCATGATCTGGGCCCAATCTCAATGCCCGGGGAAAACAGCCAACTTTGTGCAAACTAAGCCTCCATCTAATGCATGGAGACCACTTAGCGGTAAGCACAACAGACAGCTGGCTTAACCCAGGGGAAAAAGTTGCTGCCATCAGTGATGTACCAACAGACGTCACCATGTGCATGCAACCACTGGCGCACCATCAAAGGGTGCTTGTAAAGCAGCAACATGATTTTCTGCATAAGTAATTACAACTTTTCCAAGTGATACTGTTCACCAGCACTATAGACTTGGGCCCAGAGTGAATGCAGATGGGATACATCTATGGTGGCAATGATGCCCAGCCAAGCAGCTCTCTTTGTCACTGCCAAGGGGGCACTTGTGCACGGATTCCATTTATCTACAGTTTAAGAAACAATGAGTTACAAGCTGAAAATCAAGAACAAGAAGCAGCTGAAGGTTTGGTTTTTCTAATCCTTCCCACTGTTTTGGGATATCCCGTCATGAATCAAAACAGTGCACATTTGGAAAACAAACAAAAACAGATAAATTGATGTCCTCTTCAGCTGCCCTTTTCCTTTCCCGACTGACTTCCTGTAGATGTGTATATTACTGCTAAGAAAGAGCTTGGTAGCTGCACCCACTGCTCAGGAGGTGAATGATAGCCTGCACTAGCTGCAGATGATCTAGGAGTTGTTTTGAAAAGTTAAGCATGGTGGTGAAAAAAAATGAAACAAATGCCATCACATGTAACGAAGGTTTCCCCAGAACTTAAAAAAGATGAAAGCTGTCTAGCAAAGTGAAGACTGCAGAAAGTTTGCGGGGAAATCAAGGAGGTACCTTGTGAACTGCATGATTATTTAATATTAACTATTCACAAGTGATACTTGAACTCAGAACTCGAGAGATAGGTATCGTAGTTTTACTTTGCACATACACAAAGGCACAATCTAAACTCATTACACACCAGTGAGGCATTTCAATTCTGATGTCTGTCAACACAGACTTTTCTAGAGCATTCAATCACACAACTATAAATAGGAATTTGGACATTTGAGGTCAGTTGACACAATATTCTGAGATGAGAACACAAAATCAAATAGAATGCCCACCATATATCATATCTTTAAGAGATTTAAAGCATGTTTACAATTCTCAATGTCAGAATATGTACAATGTCCATTCCACTGACTGAACACTTACTTTGTTTTAAACTTAGTTATTATAATAATTTCAGAGTGATGTAACCTAAATTATGCAATAAATTGACTTTCTAATGCAATTAGAGAAAGCACAGTTTCAGATGGCTATCAATGATAAACAGAATGATGCTGTGTTGGGTAAGAAATAAGGATTCAGGTGAAGCCTCAGAAAGAAAGAAGAATTAAGGAAGTTTAAAACCAAAGAGATCTTGCCTTTTCTCTTAAACCATTTTGTCTTAACATGCAAGGATTGAGTCCAGTCTCAGAAAGATATCCAAGGTTAGGAATGTTACAACCAAAGGGGTCTTGCCTTTTCTGTGAAACTCATTTTGTCTTTAACATGCAAAGAGTGAGTCCTCCTGATCCATAACAAATGAAAGCTGTAAAAACCTGCAAATGGGTTAGTTGCTGAATCAAGAAGGTAGCCATTGAGAAAACAGCACCCGCATCACTCAAAGCCGTAGAATTTGACGTGTGATTAAAGCTACATGTAGTTTCCAAATCAACATATGACACACTGATAGCAGTGGAGAAGAGAACCAACAGGCAACCAAGACATGAGAACAATTCACCTGGCTATATTTCCATGAACCCTCCAGTGGTTTAACTGGAATACATTTTGCAAAGGGGGCACCTGGGGGTCTCTTGATATTCTGGAGGGGGGCACTACAATGAGCTTGATCAAAGTTAAAATGGCCAAATGTAGATTATAACTAGATTTTTTCCCTCTCTAATTTCTGAGTAGGGGCACAGGGAGAAGAGCACACACGCCTTGGGTGGGGGGTGTGTGCCTATCCCTCCCTTAGTTACACCATTGGAACCCTCAAAACTACCTCTCAAATGGTCTGTGACGCCGCACAGGTACGCCAGGTTTCATTTTATCAGTCATCTATATGCACTATGAATGCACAAGATGATAAATTTGCAGCCCAACAGAAATATGTTTCTGTCACAGAATCAACTGACAATCTAACATGAAAATAGCACTGTGTTCAAGACTGAGGTCATGTAGTACTTCATTGGATATGAGAACAGCTTGCACATAATACCAATATTTGTGAAATGTTTCACATTAAACATTCAGACTGCTCTGTATCTGTGATTTCTGTGACATTTTTGCCATGCAGCTCCATGGGGAACACAATGGTCCTGACAAAGCGGTGTCAAACTCAAAGTGGTGGAGTCCTCTAATACAGGTTCAAATTTCACTGGGATATTAGTGTTTTGTTTCTGTGAGCTGGAAACTATCCAATATTTTTTGTTCTCTCTACCCATGAGTAAACCAAAATGGCATCTTTGTGGGCAAAAGTTTGTTTCTTAATGAGGTTTCCGTAGAAGCAGAAATCCTTGCTTCCAGACACTTTACAAATGGGTTCCCATAAAAATCTGAAAACCAAATTCAATAACTTTTCCAGGATTTTCTAAGACTAAAATCTGACAATTTCTATGGCTTTTACTGTAACATCATTTTGCAGAGGAAAGAGGTATTGTAAACTTGAAGACTGTCATAGCCACTACAGACCACCAAGAATGTAGCCTGTAATTTTATCATTACTCTATTATCACATCACAAGTAGCCCATGGCCCAGCAAAATAAACCCTGCATGATCTTGATTTCCATGACTTTTCCCCGACTTTTTTTCTCTGACAACCGAATTCCATAACTTCCTATATAATTTTTTCCCATTTTCCATGACTTTCCAGGACAATTTTTCCCAGGATTTTCCATGACTATGAGAACCCTGTGCAAATAAGCCAGGGACAACAGATACCCTGAAAACAATGCCGCAGTGAGATCAGTAATCTGCGCAAAGGCAATTAGAGAAAATAAAAGCTAAAAGAAAAAACATAATAGCTGGATAAAGGAAACCATTACCACCGAAGGAAAAAAAGGGTAGACAAGTGTCTCGTGCCACCAGGCATTACGCTATGCCAAAATCAAGGAATTTGTTGGTGTCGTTGCCTCTTACCTTTCTCAATAAATCCAGATTGTTGCAGATCTATAAAAGCAAAACAGTTTAATACACCTCCAAATTAGAGCACAAAGGGGATGCAAAACTAATTAGTTATGAGACAAGAGAGGGGCTTACATTTTAGGAATTTTTGTCAATTCTTTCTGAGACCCTCACACTTAGAGGCGTTGCAGTGCGTGCATGGTGAAAAAACCAAAGCTGTCACAATTGAACCACTGCCGGAAATTGTCATGACTTTCTCACTCACTAGTACAAGATATCTTTCTGTGCTCTTCCACAAGTGGGCAGAAACTGTCACGCTTTCAACTCAGACCAAATGTGCAAAGCACGCTCTCACCGTTGTAAATACTAACTCAAGGAAAACAGGATATGGTACGTCTATGTCCTCAGACCAAATGTGAATAAATGCTTGCTGGATATGGCACAGGAAAGGCCAAAAATGAACTCATGGTTTTTAATTCCAAAGAAAAGGGCGATGGCATTTCTCAAGGAAAGGCCTTTAACAGCACCTTGTTTACAGTGATGCATAACCTTTATCTCTGTCTCGTGTCAAAAGTCCAGTAAGAGGTTGTTTTCCTTAAAAATCAATTTTGATTTTGTTACCAATATATTAAAATAAGATACTGCATATTTGGTGGCTTGTACAAAACTTTGGAAGTTGAGTGACACACTGATTGTGTATGATCCAGGGAGAGATCAGATTTCAAAATAAAAACTAAACCAGAAATAGACTAACGAAAGATAAAGTGTTCTGCACTGGTATTGAAGACTCCAAAGTGGATCACCACGTAACAAATACCACCTGCAAAAGCCATGTTTTGCATGTAGTACTACAGTTTAGTACTATGCTGTAGCACTTTACTACAGGTACTTTACACATATACGCAGTACTATATTGCATTTCTGCAATTAGTACTTCACTAGTGCTATACTGTAGTATTATGCTATTCTGCATGTAGTACTATCTTGCACTCATGTAAAAATACCATACTGTAGCATTATACTACTTTGCATGCAATACTACATTGCATTCAATGTAAACAGTACTACACTAGTACTATACTGTAGTACTATACTACTTTGCATACTTTGCATACTTTGTATGTAGTACTAAATCTTGCACTAATGGAACTTGTGCTACACCAGTACTACACTATAGCTCTGTACTGTTTTCCATGTAGTGCTATGCAGTACCTAGGCAAAAGCTGTCCCTCGAAAGCTAATTCTGAGGGCAGCAGCACCTAATTTCATGCAGCCACTCGATGATCAGGAAAGAAAGTACCAGCACTTTAAAAATACAAGCACCACTCATGATGACAAAAACCGAGATACCTGTATGAGTGATACGACAGAGGAAAGATGACAACCGGAAGGACACTCCAGAACTGAGCACATTGCGATGAAAATTGGTCATAAATCATGCATAAATCTGTGATATACATGCACAAACCAGCGTGCACATAACATATCCCACATTCAAGTCTGCACAGTTAGCCGCAGCACTGCACCGCACTCAGAAAAATGTATCTACTAATCTTAAGTGTGTTTTGAGGCTTGATGGGCTAATGCTTGGTAGCACAGTCCCAGTCTGATAGTACGTTTCCCTGGAGCAAGAGTATCATCATGGGGACTAAACTAAAGATTTGAATCACATGTACATGTATGATAAAGATAGATTCACACTAGCTATGTCAACTTCTTGTTAATTTTATGTGTCACTATCCTAATGTTAAGCACACATTTTGTAAGAAAAACTCTGACTGAACCTAATATGATGGGTATCAGTATTTAAAATCAGATGGAGGAAACATTTATCAGCTAATCTGCTAGATCTAATATGAAACAGTTTAAAGGCAACAGCATATATGCACAGCAGGCCAAACGTGTCACTCACAAAATCTAATGGTTTTAATGGACACACAACTGTGAACCCACACACTGTGACTAGAGGATGTGGGAGGGCTGAAGGGGGGGAGGAGTTTTGTTCAAGCAGAGGCGGAAGGAGGCCTTTTCACCCCAGACTAATTTCAGGGTTGACAAATACCAATGATTCACACTTAAACATTTTCAACCCCACTCAAGACCAAGGCTGAGATTTTTCAACCTTTTCAATTTTTGAAAAAAATTGTTCACGCTCATCTCCAGGTTGAACTCACTCTGATAAGCTCAGTTTGCATAAAACAAGTGTGAAAAAATGCTGGGTTGAATGCAGGTTGTAAAACCAAAGTTTTAACCCAGGGTGGTTTGGGTTTGCCCGAGGTTGAGTTCAACCAGGGTCGAGAGGCTGTAGTGTGAAAAGGCCAAGGGAAACTGGACAGCACGCCAAAAATCAGAGAGTGGCACAGACCGAAATCAAAAGATAGGCGACGTGCCCCACTTGCTGACGAGGAGTCCAAAGGCTCGTCACTTTCTACATCTGCACTGAGGTTCGGAAGTGATTGTATACCATGTAAAGCTAACAAAGCTGAACAATGAGAGAAAAAAGATTGGGTGTCGGTGCTTGAAGATACACATACCACTTCTTTGATTTGTTTTTTTTTTAAATTATACACAAATGAGAAAAGGGATCAATTCTGACACTATGTAACTAAAGATGATTTTTGTTCAACATCAACTCCGACTGTCCTAGACAAACGGTTTAAAGACTTTGCTTGCTTTTTCTTTTTAAAGGTTAACAGATACAAATTGCTTTATTGGTGACAAATTTGATCTCTTTTTTACTCATTAGCACTTAATGAGCCTTAGTGCACGCACAAATCTTTAAATCTCTTTCATTAGAGATATGTGCTGGCATGGCCAGCTACCGCCGCCATTACTGCATGCATCATTTATCATGTGCAAGGTGGTCCTTTCACAGTGACAATAATATACGATAAACACTGCCAATTTTCAACTGAATGGGTACAAAATGTTCAGTTACTGTCAGTTGCTGTAGTTCAGCAAGGGGAAAGGCAGAACTACTGGACCACCTGATATCATTCACACAACAGTCAATATGTGCAGGTGAACTTGATAAGGTCAAGCAAACATTAAACCTAAACATCTACATAATCATTTTCAAGATATACATGTGGGTGAGCACTGAATGTTCTTGCAGTCAATTTTTTTCCCAGTGGTATTGCCAGTATGATGATAAAATTTCCTATAAAGTATGTGTAGTTAACATTGCTAGATACTGTAAAAGATACTGTAAAAAAAACACATAAACAATAGAGCTTGGGAAGATATCAGTAGCTTTTTACCGACTACTAGCTGAGACAGGTCATTTGTTTCAATTTCTTGCATAACCATAGAAATGTATGCAATTCATTCTAATTTCCTTCAAATCCCTTTTTATTAACCACAGCATTGGTACCACTGCATGGAAACTGTCAGTGAACATCACACACTGCACAAATGTAAAATTTGGAGTTTTTAAATATCAAACTTCAGATTGGGCAGGTGTCAAAAAAAGTATTATCATCACGATAAATGACTTTCTCAATTCTGAATTCAGAAATAATGTACAAATTTATCCACATCTCATAAAGCTTGACTTTTTTTTGAACTAGCAATGTGTTAGTGAGATGGCAAAATACCATTGTTCAACATTCTGTACCACATGGTAGAGTATACAGCACATGTGGACATGTCCATGTACATGGCTGTGCTGGGCATGCATACATGTACTATTCTGGAAAATCACCGGCTCCACGTGGTTGTTACCAAAAGCTGGACTATGGACATATAATGGTGGCATTAGGGATATTTCATTCAGCTTCACACACACTGTCTGTCCAGGTCAGGCTTGTTTCAATGTTAATTTAATGTTTTGGGAATCCTCCTAGCCATAATTGAGATTCAGCCCTGGGTTTGGACACATTACATACATGTACATACCGTAGCAAAATGTGATTAAGTTTGCTCATTTGATGGAAATCAGTGAAGTTTGGGTGGAAAACTTAATAAAGAGTGTCATTTTTTCTTAACTCGGGTTAAAAATTGCCAAAATAATGATATATCAAAATGTTTGATATTTTACTCAAAAAGTAGGTGACTGCAATTCGTTTAAGACAATATTATATCATGATGATAACTATTGCGATATTGTCCATCACTCATATAGAAACAAGTATAAATACTCATGTACTTCAATACTTGTATATTAAAGATTCTACTTCCAGATTACATGAATGAATACATGTAATACATATTCCCATAAATGATACATGTAGCATGCGATGGCAGATGATGACAACAGCAAAGTTGCTCAAAAGCTTAAAATATCTACATGCAAAACAGCAGATCTAACAACCAGATGTCAGTTCAGTTTGCATTTGGAAATGTTTGCAGGAAACCTCCCAGCAAGATGCATGCTTTGATAAAACAGCAACACAGCAAAACATTTATGAACTGAACGGCCCCCAAAAAATGTCAGGCAGTGCCAATGCCCGAACCACTGTAAGCAACATAAAAAACAAAAAATTCTAGTGATTAACTTTGCAGTGATTCTGGAAAGTTGAGTGAGCCTTGCCAGCCCGCTAAAAACTAAAGAATGGCAGGAATACCAGTTTGAAATGAATCCAAAAGGCACATGGGCTCACTAGTTGTAAGTTCTAAAGAAGATGGTCAGTTTTGCTGCAAATTAGGCCCCAAAGGTGTGCAGCCTGCAAATGCTGATTGGAATCTCAAATGCTGCGGAGTTTGATGAGTTTTCACGGTACTCATGCTGCAACTGGTGCATCTTCTAAGTAACTCTGATGTAGCAATAGAGGTGAAGGGGCAAAGCACCTGTCTCTGTGAACACAGAGTGAGTGACATTCCACAGGTGTTATTTGGAGCAACCAAACCTGCAAAACAGAACAAGGTGTTGGAAAGAGCCCACTTTCCCAAATGCCAATGCCAAGATGCTGCTACAAATCAACAACACCTTGGTAACAAACATCTCAAATTCAGAGCTGAGACTCAGCAGACTACCTAAGCATAAGCGGAAGAAAGTGCTTTTCAAGAATGTTTCAAGAATTTGGTTCATCAGACAACACATAAATTGGTTGCACGCATGTTGATTTAAACTCAGCTAATTGTAAAGCAACACAAAATTTTGTAACGAATCTCAGCGGGCAGCATCACTTTGTTTTCCTTCGTTAAGTATTTCTCTTCAAGACTTTGGCTTATCTGACCACACAAGGAGAGACACTGGCACTGGGCATGTAAAATTAAGAAAGGTTGGCTGTAGTGTGAAGCAAATAGACATTTTGAAACACACACTCAAGCAGGCAGCTCTAATGTTACAACCATGCACACACTCCTCAGCAGAATTCACCACAAAAAAAAGCAACAGAAACAGCTCAAGATGACACTCCACAACAAGTAAGGATGTCGCACTGTAAATATCTTTTTTCCTTTTTTCCCCCAGAAAAGCAATAAATGGGCTGCCATTTTCACATGTCATTGCTAATCTATTTACATTTTGGAAGGCATATCAATCAGTCTCTAACCAAATGAAGCCATGAGCATGTGATGTACGTGTAAATGGAGGGAAAACAAACCCACATCAACAGAATAAATGCCACAAATGGATCAACGGTGGTTCATTCTTCAAGTGAATGTGAACAAAACATGAAACACGCATAACAAAACCTATGCGCCAAACTGGTCATGTTTTAGGTGAATAGGCTATAAGGTTGTGGAAAAGGGAACAGCAGAACCCATAGACCTCCCCTTTTGTCCCCAAAAGCACTTTCACTGCCAATTCATGACTTGATTCAGAGCATACCTTCTGGTGAATGGATTGTATCCGCTGGATTGAATCATGATTTTCATTGTGTGCATGGGCTTTGATTGGGAAAAGTTCAGGTCAGCCTCCTTGAATGGGTAATATGAAGAACCTTTATACAGCATGACTGAAAAGTGCAAACCAGATCGTCTGTCAAAAAGCACGCCCGTTCATAAATGGTATGTGAAGCAAGCTACTGGTTTTGCTTGTTTTTATGCGTGAAGTGTGTACTTTTTGCTGTTGTTTGTGCTTGAGAGAATGCATTTGAGTGCAGGTGCTGGGCTTTTGAGAGTGGACCTTGAGTCCTTGACTGGTGAAAATATTTTAAGTTCACCACTAGAAGGAGTGGTTATGGACACAGTCTTCTCCCTAACTGCTCTCAAACCTCCTTTTCCAGTTTGGTCACTCTTGACAGTTGAACTCAACACATACATGTAATTCCGACAACTTTGCATTTTGTGCAAAATGAGTAGATCGTTTGCATGGGTATTCATGGGTATATCAATGGAACATTCAGGAAATCACAAACTGGTTGAGAGTGAACTCCCAAGAGATTGGGGTGTGTTTTGCATTCACTTGAAGCAAGAACCGGCCTTATGGAGGGCAGAAAAAATACTTAGAGTCCGTCAGGGGGTTATGGACTTAACAGGGGTTAACCACGGTAGTACCAGAGAAGCGTATGACCAACCTGAGGAAGCTGTGACAGGATAAAGGGAGAGAGAACGAGAAAGTTTCAAAGCTTGCACGGACAACAAACAGCAGACACATCATTAAAGTTCAAGAGACGCCAAATTCTTTTTCTACTGAAGTTATCATTCATTTGTCAGGTGACAAAATCAAACTCTGTGGTAGTTTTGGTGATTTTTCCTTCCAAACTCCTGTAAGTTTGAAGTTATTTTTCTGTATATTTGCAATAAGGAAGACGGATCAGACGAGATGAATTACGGTATTTAGATACACAGATATTCCTATCTATTTACAATCTTCTGATCTATTGTTGTGTTGAGGTGCTGAGAGACTGGAAGCAAAAGATTAAGTCTGCGAACTGTTTCTGCCTCATTTGCAGCAATTTGGGAAATGCTTCATGTTACCAGGATAGCAACATATCTGTGTTTACCTCAAGGTTCTCAGGAAAATTACAAGTAGTCTAGACTTTATTGATAAAACTTTGGCTATGTCCAAAATCATTGTAAAAGGAAAACAGATCCTGAATTTAGATTATTCCCAGTTCCATGCGGGAAAAAAAACAAGGAAAGCATTTTCAAGCTGTTTCACTCTGCCATGTAGGAAAAAAAAAATGCTCCCAAATCACAAAGACCACGGAGGAAGTCTTTACCAAAACCATGCATTTGAGTCTGGAATTCTACATCTCCAGCAAATTTCTCACCAAAGATTGAACGTGTTCCAAAACAGACAAAAAAGAACAAAGACAAACAAAAGAGACAACTCACATTTGCACAATAAACCCCGTACTTCATCTGCACAAGGCAATCGGTTTGTCTAGGGCCAATGTCACAAAGCTTCAAGGCAACAAAAACATGACAAGCACAGACAAATGTCTGCTTAGCGGACGCAGATCACACTCCTAATGCCACGTGATTGTACACACGCTTTTAACTGGTTCCCTGCTATTTTCTGCTTAGCATTAACGTAGGGCCAAGATCAATGCAGACAAGTTGATTTGTTTTATCAGCATGCATGCAAACACAGACCCCCATCTACAAACAGGGAGAGAGCGTACTATGGTTTCTGCGCAGCTACATTGTATACATGTGTAACTGCATGCTAAATCTAGACTACATACTAAATCTGTTGGCCTACTGAACTTAAGTTTGAATCGCTTTCTGTGCGAAAATTCAGTATGCCTATTATTACTTCTTCTGACTACTATTTGCATGTGTTCTCCTAACAAATCTTTATAGTCTCTCAGACTAAATGGGCCCATAACTTACTTAACATGTCACCAAGGTACTTTTGTCAATTCTTTAGCTTATATTGTAACCACTTTCTAAGTCCATGTTGGTAACGTGGCCGATTCGTCTGCTGTTTGCAAAAACACAACTTCCTGAATTACACATAGCTCAACTTTAGGATGAGAAACAGGTACCGTCTTCCCAAGGAAATATTTTAGCTCTATTTTTTTTCAGTAACCTGTTTAATTTGGTGCTTGGTCTTTCCGTGAAGCTGGGCAAAATGCTTGACATTTGGACAAATTAATATGATTAAGTCTGAGGAGTCATTGTGTGACAAAGTTTATCACCGGTAAAGTTGACGGGGGAGGGGTGTTTTTATTTGTTTTGGAGCATTTACAAGTATTCAAATAATATACAACATTGTTATATTATTTATTCAGCGTACAGACAGAACAGGAGCACCACACAGTGTTTATCTGTGTTTGGTTAAATATTCAAGTTTAGAAAAACAAAAAATAGCGGATCATTCCGAATATGTAACAAGGGACTGTCGAGTTCATGAATACGTCACATGCCTCAATGTCACAAACATTTCCTACTTCACCAAAAGACCCACACTTTATATTACAATGAGTTGAAAAAGGGTCGGCGTTGATTGAGCTATATACATTGTACAAGGATCAAGAGCCAGATATAAGGGGTTTTGTTGGGGGTGTTCTGATTAATTCCTTTTGGGGGATTCTATTATTTTCTTTTGGGGTCAGTTAATTTGATCATTTTCATTAGAATGATTTTATCATTTTTGGGGGGGGGAATTTTAGTTGTTACTCTTAATGTTTTGTTTTGTTTTTGGCTAGTCTTTATTTTAATGTAATGTGCAGAATGGTCATTCAGCACGGTCCAAAGTTCAAAGTCACCGACAGCACTCACACCACACATACCTTCTTCACTGCTTGAGTGCCGTGGGTGGCCATGGGGCTGGTACTTGAGCTGAACCTTGCGATTGATGCCTGAGAAGTGACCATACATCTCCAGGACAGACTTCAGCTGCTCCAGCTTGGATTCTCTCTCCTCAATCTCAAGTCTGAAAAGAAGAACCCTCTGACCTTTAAGGACTATGTATAATAGACATTCCCTAACACCAACATCCCCCCCAGAGCATTTTGCCCCTCCCCCCAAAAAAAGCAAAATGAGGAAAAACATGCAAGAGTTGTCAAACTTCTCAAAAGTGTGAAAGCCAATTCATGCACAAAACAGCAAAACACAGAGTCACTCCTCCCAACATTGACATCAGAAGAAATTGAAGTTGGTAATGCCCCTGGGGTTGAAGCACTCAACAGCAAACAGGTGACCATTAACCACTACCTGCCGGGGACTCCAAAATCGGAGCCGTATGGTTTATATGGGTGGCCGGGGTCTCTGAACTCGGACAAAGGAAACAGGGCCCTGTAACAAAAGACCGTACTCCGAACAAAAGACCAGGCTGCTGGGCATTACCGACATTTTTTCACTCTCAAAAGTGGAGATAATCCAGCCTTGTTTTGAAACAGTATAGCACGTTTGGGGCATTTAGAGAGAGCAGATTACCACTGGGGACAAAAGCACTCCACCACCGCAGCAATGAGCCACACAGCACTGCTGCATGCTAATCTGGCCCCTTTTGAAAAGAGGTCAGCAGCGCACTGAGCCAGGTTCGTGAACAAAAGAAAGTTATATAACACCACACAATATGGGCTCTTTTTACAAGGCTTCAGGCCTGACTGAAATACTCAGACGTCAATAGATTTTGTCTGTCAGGCTAGAGTGGACACCAGACAGTCCTTCACGTGTTTGTATAGTGTCCGGTAAATGAAGACAGGAATTTTTAAAGAATTGTGAAAACAGAAAAAAATGATAAATATCCCGGCCCAGCATCACCAACATTGATAACTGCCCCGGCAGGAAGTGGTTAAGGCCCTTGTCCCATTTTCATCACTAGAGGGCAGCACACACCTGTTCCTGTGTTTCTGTCTCTTCAGCTCCTCCAGCAAGTAGCGGGCCACGTCCAGCACCTCCTGCAGCTGCTTGGGCCTCTTCAGCTTGATCTTGCCCTGCTCAAAGCCGCCGTACTTCTCAAACAGCTTGAAGAATCTGCCACAATTGATATGACTGACAATCAGTTGACTGTTCAATGCAGAGACTGTTTGGACTCCAACGCTTTACCTTATAGCCTATCTCTGGACAATTGCATTCAGATTAAAATTAACGCCCTTGGTATTTTTGAATCTCAGAATCTTCCTCTATCCTCCCAAATGCTACAGCCTGCAGCAAAACCAAAAGGCTATTCTTCATTCTAACATTCAAGGGGCTTCAAGCCCCTACCTATTGGTAGCTGGGCTTTATTTTCCCCAATCATACAAAATAAGTCAAAATTTACAAAGGGATTTTGTAGGATATGGGAATGTTGGGGTTAACTGAACACAATCCCTCTCTCATAACTGTTCTCTTCAAACTGGATTGTACTCAACACTTCAAAGACACCTGGCTGGCATGTTAAACCATATTTTGGGGCATGGAATGACAGTATCAGGTTGTATATCCCAAAGAGATCTGAGATGGGTTCAGGAATGCTCAGATATTGTGAGCCCAATGAGCAGGTACGACAATAACATTGGATCTCTGAATGACCTTATAAATACCAAGATACTATTATTCATGTGTATCTTTGACACAGCCGATGACTCTCATCGGGAAGCAATACACACTCACTTTGGGTGTTTGACCTCCATCTTCATCTTCTGCTTTGGGGTTCGGTCGCCATGGCGAATCACTGCTATAACACAACGCAACTCCATCCTGTTTGGTAACAAAGATATCTTAAAGCATATGGTCAGAAAATAACATGCACATACATGTGTGTATGTTTTCGTAGCCAAGATCTGTTTTGCCAGTTTTAAGTTGATGAACCTCAGTGTTGTTCTGTCACTAATCCCTCTAACAAGGGGTTTGAACCCAAAATATCAGAGCCAAATATAAAGCCTGACCTGTTCCAGAAGTAAAAACTTTGTTCAGGGTCGAAACAGTTGAATAACTGAGATTAAGAGGGGTCGTGCTCTACCATAAACAAGAGATGATCCAAGTTATTGACACAAAGGCTCACTTGTGTGTGAAAGAACAAGTTGAATCCACGCTTTCAAATAATTTCTCCTTGGAAATCTAACCACCCATATGCTAACAAAAAATGCAAGCTCTTTTCAATTTCCCTTTGTATGTGTACCGTGTTGCTAGTTTCATCATGCAGTAAGGTATACAGCTAAAACACAAACTAAGTTAAAGTAAGTAAAAATGCCGTCCAATTTAACCCAGTGATCCATTCAGAGGTGTCACGGATTCATGCTCTGATGTTCTTACTCACACAGTGCCGGACGTTGTGGGGACATATGGAATCTCCTCTTCCATGGTGAACATCTGCCAGGGGATGTTGTACCTAGGAGCCAATTCCCTCATCACCATGTTACTGGACAAACACACAGAACAGTGTTCCAATAATAGTTCATTCCCAAACTTGCCCGGTGAGTCCATGTTGGTATGCAGATTGTGCACATGCATTAAACAAGTATTCTGCCAATAGGTAATTGTGAGTGCCAACGTGCACGCGCATGTCAAGTTTAAGACAGCAAGTAACATTTGCATCAGTGCAACAGCAGCAACGGTGTCTCCTTCAGTCCATTAGGAGGTAAAGTTTTACAGTTTTTTCTGAATGTTCAAGTAGTATTTCTTGCTTCCACTACAAACCCAATCCTCACAGAACTCTCTCCATTAAAAATGTCCACAGATGCTACAGGCCGCTTACCCTAATATTTTGGCGCAGTCGTCGTAGTACTTCTTGGAATTCTTGACAAAGCTGAACCCGTTGACGTCGCACACGTAAGATTTCCCGTTGGCCCTCAGCAGATCAAACCCACACACAGATTGCTGCGACAAGAAAGACAGCCAAATATTTACACAGGCTAAAGGACTCTACAGCACTCCAAGGTATAACTGTGTAAATAAAGTATGTGGAATTCTGCAGTGTTCATTGGACATCTACATTACACCCTTTTTCTGCAGTAAATCAACATAAATAGTGACAGTCTCTGCAGAAGCTATTTATATGAATTTTATTAAATTACATGCTTCAAGTCTAGATATTTACAATACTTATTCTATAACATTCATTGTCTTTAAATTTTGTATTTTCGTGAAGAACCTTGAACGTCAACATCAGATGGATTTGGCACTATACAAGGCTCAATTATTATTCTTGCTATTATTGAAGTTTTTCAGTGTAGTGACTTTCTCTTTAATATACCAGGTTTAAGTGGTTCATTCTAAAACAATCAATATTTTGAATGTTCCACTGAAAACTATTCAAGGCAACTACATGTATCTCATAGCCTCTGAGCCCTTTCAGAAGTTTTCACAATTAGATTTTTTATACTTAAAGAAACTTTAATCCAACATACAGACACGCTCTCTTCGAAAATGGAAGATTACAAGGACGCACTTCAGCCATTCTTCCTCAAGATGCACGTGTGAATTAGGGAATTTTAATGAGAAAATGCAAGAGATGACCAGCGCCCATCCAATGTGTTGTATCCCAATGTGAATCCAAACTCTGTGGTCATTCTTGCTGGCAACCATCCTAAATCCTCAAAATAATCCCTGGCTCTGCGCAGAAACCAATGGTGCTTCTTCCACTTCAATGGGCATCAAGCTCAACGTAAAGTAACAGTGGCTGGGTTCAGCCTTTCTTAATCCTTAAAACTCCATCAGAACCTCCAGAGGTATTTTGGAGGATCCTGGTAAGTTATGTCGCACACATGCATGACTTACCTTGAATGCCAAGCAGACCTTTCGGGCAATCAGCTTCTCATGGTTGCTCAGGATGACTGGGTACCGGACTTCTTTGCCCTCACTGTCCCTCTCCACCTTGCCATCCAAGGCCGGTGACTTCCTCGCTTCAGCATGGGCATAGTCTGGCCCCACAGTGTAAACCTGGGTACAAGGAATACACAAAACAAATCGTACACTGTAAAACTTGTTCACAGACTCAAAGCAAGCAATGCAGAAGGCATTATCGAGGTCACGCACGAGATCTACCAAGACACATCATCATATGCTCATCGGTTTATATGCCTATAACCTAATGGCATCACGCTTTGTTTACCAGTACATGTGTGCTCTCCTATGATAGTGAGGTGGGATGCAATCCATCATGTCCCCATAAGAAAGTGAACGAAGCGTGAAATCACTGTGTTTTAGGTCTGTTTTCGACTAAATGTACACAAAATCAAACAAAGAACAAACAGGGGGAAACAACAGAAACGATGCTGCTTTACTATTTCAAACACCAGCATTTCACCCTTTTTTAAAATTTGAAGCCATAGCTACTGGTATGCTGCGAGTATTGCGGACTACGGACTGATTTTACATTCCTGCTTGAGTGACATGAGGTTACTTATCCAGGAAAACAATGACAAGCAAGAATGCTTTTCATGCGGCATACTTCTCAACTGTCTATGCTCAACAAGCAAAGTGATATGAAATCATGAATTTACAGGTACCGCAAATCACACACTAGGAGGAAAGAAGAGCATTATCCTGAACAAGCAATTTTACAACACTGGAACGATGCTGGAATGAAATGCCCTGAAGTATTACCTTGACATCTGTGCCATCTGTAGGCATGAATTCCTCATAAATGTATGAGCCTTTTTGACGCAGCGTGTTGACAGAGGAGTAAACACTACTTCGGCTTCCAATCTTTCAAGACAAAATCGGTAAACTGATAGCAGGAAATCAAAGTAACATATAATAGATACATGTAGTTAGGGAATTAGAAATCCATTGAAAACTTCCAACTTCTCTCATGTGTTCAATTGAACCAAAAAAACCTTGATCAGAGACAAATCCCAGGAAATTTAGTCAAGCCAGTAGTCTCAACACTCAAGCAAATATTTCCTGAGTGATCAAGTTCAGCAGGTCTAATGTATTCACCGAGAAATCACTCAACTGGATTTTCTCAACTGAGCGTGCACTTTGTTCCAAACAAACGACACGAGATACCACTGTCCAAAATGTTGGCTCTTGTGTCCCTCAGCAGGATGCTTCACCTAAATTCAAGGAGTGAGGGTCTAGACTTTGAAGGTAGAAATTCAGCTGACCTTTCTGAACAGCCTCTGGCTGCCTCCCCCAGCCGATGAGGGATAGTAGATGTAGATATTGTGGTCCTCCGCCGAGACAGGCTTCTCCACAAATGGTTTGTGGAACAGTTGCCCGCAGATTTCAATCTGGTCGTCCATTTCTTTCATCATATTATCTACAAGCACAATCAAGTACAACTGGGTTCTGGACACAAATTGCTGATGGGTGTCCTTCAAATTATGGGACAATTCCGTACAGTAACTAAGCACACAAATTTACTGTGTACGGAAAGTCCAGCTCAGGAAAACAGGATAATCCAACAGAGTGCATGCGCACTATTTGTAACTGTCCCTATGCTGATTTTGCATAGCACATAACTCTGGATATTAAAACAACGTCTACCTCTACAGTAGGTATGGTGCCTCCAAGAAAGCACAGAGAGTCTACGGGTTTTATAGCGGACAGCGAGATAAATGAATTCTTGGAGTAGCCGAGCACTCGGCAATCGCCGAGTGTTGTCTGGTTCTTGCCTGGGCATATTTTTTTAACTGAGTAGTTTCTTTAATGTTGGCTGCAAAATTTCATAAATACAGTACCCAAGAGCCCCTGAATAAATTCCTATACATGCATTTAAATTTTCTATACCATCTTGATTATAAGCACATTTAATTAGACAAGTCAAACTACATACATTGGGCTGGAGACCCATTACATCAGGTATACATTCATTTATTGCAGTTATGTACAGTTTTGAACAACAGTGAAACTCCACAGATATTATTCAATTTATATTTTCCGACAAACTTACCAAGACTGTCGCTATCCCTGTCAAAGAAGACAAAGCGAGGTACAGCGATTCCTTGCTCATACAATATCTTGTAGACTTTCCTCCTGTAGCATACAATGAAACAGAAACAATTCATTAAATGTCACCACTGGGAATATTTACTCACCAAACTCTTTGGTAGACATGTTAGAACCTCTCAGCATAATCTACTCCGAACCAAATATAATGATCCTCCACACATTAAATTAAGTTCTCCTAAGCGTTCTCTAAAAACAATGCCAGGTAATTGATGTCTAGCTGTCTGTGCGGCTATTAAGATGGAATCTCAGAGACTTTGTTAAGCTTTTCCCATAGTGATGATTTTATTTATATCTAGGCATTCTTCCCTTCCATAACCTTTCCCATAGTTTGTTTTGCACAGCCTGATTTTCTATCACTGGAGACTTGTGCAATGACTTCCTTAGTCTTTGTTTCAAGACATTGTTTAATGTACATGCATTTATTTGGTTTACAAAACTGCCGCCATAAGAGGGCATTATCACAACCATCCCCTACCGACCACAAACCATCAGCTGCTATGGATAACGAGCAACATCTTGAAACCAAGACTGGGACCTTCACTACCAGAAATCACAGCGAGTTTTCCTGAACTTTATTCCACTGACCAGTACAGGTCAAAGGGACTTTTTTCGATCACTTTCCCATAGCAATCCTACAGATGTCACTTGTAAGAAAAAAAAAAACGACCTTCCTGACCTATTCATCAGGTTGCAAAGTCACTGATGGCTGGCATCTCTCATGGCTACAACAATCTTAACAGCAGAAATCACATAGACTTTTTCAGACATATTTTCCTTGCTGTCCTATTTTGACAGCAAGGAATCCCTCCTCTTTTAAATGCCTGTCCAGCAGGTTGTACTAAGCATGTAATTCACAGACAGCTACTCCCAGAGTTCCGTACAGCAATCTTGACAGAAATCACACATTTTCCTGAAATGGCAATCCCATGGCAATCCTATTTGACACCTGGGAAGCCATACTCTTGTCTCACCAGCAGTTTGTACTGTGCATCAGACCGACAGCAAGCATAGTAATGTACGGTACCTGTAATTAACAAGCTTGAGAGTGGCAACCACAGGGAATTTTTGAAGTACATTCCCAAAGAAATCCTATTTTCAAACCCGAGAATTTTTTTCCTTGTATGACCTATCCATCAGGCTGAGCTGTGTCTCCAAGTCACTGAGAGCCATCAACTCCCATAACTACATACAGCAATTTTAAGAGCAGTAATCACAGGAAGTTTTCCTAAATATATTTCCATGGCAATTCTACTTTAACACTTGGGATCCCTCCTTTTTTTCTTTACCTATCCAGAAGATTATACTGTGCCTCCAGGTCGTTAATGACCAACGGCTTGCGTAGTTTGGCATAGGCGATGGCCTTCTCTAGTGGGAAGCCCTGGGAGAAGAAGGAGACCAGGCAGTCACAGATGGGCCACTCCTCCACAGGGTCGTTGAGGATAACCTCCTCCTTGAAGATGATGATTTCAATGTGCTCAAAAATCTCCAGCCGACTCAGGATCTCCCGCATGGGCTTGGAGCGGGACTTCTTGGCCATGGCGCAGATGCCCACCGTGCCCTTTATCGTGACTTCGCCCGCGTCCCAGCCGGGGATGTTCATGGCGAAGTCGGACAGACCCTCCTAGTCAACAAAGCAACCACTGATCATTTAAACGGCCCTGTGGATAGTGTACCTCATAAATCTAAGACCATATGTCAGCCACTGGTCGAATTTGCCTGGTTCCAAGGATGTGTTTTGCGCACAGGTTACCAAGAAAAACTGATCAGTGGTTGACAAATGATCACTCCTTGCAATTATCCCTAGTGGCGGATAGGTGAACCTTACCACAGACAAATCCAGACATGCAGTTATTGTGCACCAAATGGCACCTAGAAAGGGCTAAAGAACTGTGCCAGCTATCACACAAAACATATGACCTTGGATATTTTTTCGGAACAACATTTTCTTCTATTACTGCTGTACAACTCTGCATGCCCAGATTTATTCATAAAGCAGAGTTGGGGGCTCAGAGCACACATGTTGAGGTCACATAACCAGAGTGTGGACATTCCGTAGTTTTCATGGACATGTAGTTCAGAAAAATCCAAAGAACTTTCCAACTTTTTCAAATCACTTTAAACACTTTTCTGTGAAAGCTGGGTTTTGTTGATAATTTCCTTGAATTTTCAAGTTCATTTTATGGCAGGTACCAGTAACCCTAAACTCCAAAATAACTGTACAATTTTTTAGGGGGAACACTTGTGTGGACCTGGGCAAGTCCATACATCTTCACAACCTGCCTCGTGTGGACATCTTTTGTTCTCACATCCCAATTTTCTTCACAGAAGTGCATTACTCAAGCTTGAATATGGCTTGAAATAAAGGCAACATCTCACACCTCATCAGTTACCAAAGAACAGTAACTGGAAGGTATTAAATGCTACTTGACCCCATTGGCTCAGAACATTATAATACAGATCTATGGATAGATAAACAGGTGGTTGGTTTATTGCAAGACATTAAACCTTACCCCCTTGGGTGTGTAGCAAGACTATTACAGTTAAAACACTTTTAGATGTTTTTAATGATCCAGACAGACAACTGCCTTTAATGACGTGCAACTGCCTCGAATGGGATGATGTCAATAAGGATGAAGCATTCAGGAAAATGTTTTGGAAAGAATGTTATGAACGGAAACGTGCCTGTAATTGGCAAACACCACTGCATGGCATCACTGTCAGGATACTTACCGCTGTACATTTATACCCACAAGTACCCAGCCTTTAGATATACCATTGGTGAAAATCTATCAAGCAAAGGCAATCTTTACACATTACAATGCATCGGCAGTGATGGGTTTCTAAAATGTGTCATTGGATTTGGAAAAAATACATGGTATGTAGATCGAAACCATGTGTTATTAAACTCGAACAAAAAAGGTTTATAAAAGGGAGGGAACCTCATCAAGAACATGAATGATTTTCGTCAGCTGTTTCGGCTTGTTTGCCAATACAGCTGACAAAAACTTCCAAATTTTGAGGGGACTTTTGGCTATAGACATCAGGTGAGACAGAAACTTAGAGTTATGACATGAGTCAGTGATTGACTCCAGTCCAACTGGCTCCCTGATTGTTAGCAACTCCAGTCCCAAAGGTTAACTGACTTGACACAGGTCACTGCAAGCAGATGACCTACCTGTGTCATGCACAGAATTTACAACACTGCTACACAAAGGTCTATGTAATTTCTTTTAGGATGTTTACATAAATGACAACTACGTTTATGCACACTTATCAGAACTGGCCAGGACAGAAATTTCAAAAATACCTACATGTACATGTACAAGCAAATGCCAGAATCCAATCAAGTCCCTCTCTCCTTTGTGTTTATATACTTAAACATCTGTGAATCAAACTGATTTGAGCGTCAGACTTGACTCAACTCAAGCTCAAACCGAGGCTCAACTCGACTCAAACTGGCTCAAGTCTTTTCAATGAAAACAACTTGACTTGGGTCAGCGACTCATTATAACACTGTTGGCACTCCAATCACCCAATCAGTCCAGTAGCCCAGTGGGAAGGTCAAACCCAACGGAACCCATTTTGTGACAAAAGCCTTTGCTCCTGACTATGCACAGTATTCATCCTGCATGCAACATGCACTGTTACTGGTGCCACATGCATGATGAGCATTCATGTCCAAGTAAATGTGCATGCACTAACCAATCAAAGTGGCATTTCAAATGCTGGAAAAAGTCGCAACCCCCCCACAAAAAAATAGCAAGTAACCCCCAAAAAAGCAAGAAATGATTTCTGGTTTTTGTGGATCTGAACAACAGTAACAGAGTACTGTTTCATCATTGAGCATCATCAGATGTTCAGATGTACCATGTATGTACATGAAACGATGAGTTAACAAAGACATTATTAGTTATCCCAGGATGGGATAAGGAGATTATCTTTATTAAAGTAATTAAACTCATTTTTTTTGTTTTCAGACCTTATTCATAGGGAAGCCATTTTCGATTGTGTTCCCTTTTTTTATTCTATGTAATCTGTTCAATGGGATGGTACCAGACTATTTAGGGTTCCCTACCTCACCCCTCACTTTCATTTTTTTTTTATGCGGCTTGAGGGCCTGTTTGTTTCACACGGATCTGATTCACAATCAGTAATCCCAGGTTCGTGCTATCCATTAGGTGGGTGCTGGTGTCAATGAACCAACCAAAGATCACTGATCGTGATCCGGATCCATGTAAAACAAACAGGCCCTAAAACATTTAGATATAAATATTACACACTTTAAATTCTTCATCAGTATAAATCACATTAATTTGTAATGAAGTTTTTTGTCAGTGCATTCATTTTTTTATTCAGTTAATGTTGATTTCAGTTTAATATGGCCAACTTGTATTAGAGTAAGGCCAATTCAGGCCTTGAACAATGCAATACGCTCGTTACTCTTACAACGGTGCAGTACTGTACATGTTGACAAAGTGTGATATAGACTCTTGAACATGAATATGGCTATTCACGGCACAGTCTGTAACCAAGGATCAACTAGTTGGGATCTGAAGGATTCAAGATTGCTTCCAGATAAATACTGTGAATCAAACCAATCCTCAACATTGCAGAATACAACCTTTTGACCTTAATTTCTTTTAAATTTTAAAGAAAAAAATCATGAGACTGTTTCATAAAGTGTCCCAATCCCTTGATACCGTAGAAGCATAGAGTGTTATCAAGACATGTTTCTGCACACTGTCACAATCATTCACTCAAGCAAAAGAAATATGTAGGTCTAAACCCTCCTGTCATTTTTTGTCTTTGTACTGTGCATATTTTTCACAACTGCTCTCAATTCAAACGCTGCACTTGTTAAATTAATAAACAATTTACCTTATCTCACAAAGATGTGTAGTGACAAATAAACTCTAATTTTTCAGTTGAAATTTGAGGATCAGGATTTGAAACTAAAGCTTAAGGATTCGACACTGTTTTGAAGGAGACATACATATCCACTTATTACTGATCAGACGCTCAACTGTGATCCATACCAAGTGAGGCCAATTCTTACTCGTAGTGATCTGCATTTAGTATATCATTTTTAGACCAAACTTTTGACTTTTCAAAAAGGCAAGATACCGCAGTCTGCAGTCTGCAGTTGACTGCGTACTGCAGTCAACTTTTGATATACAGCCAAACAGCACTAATTACTGATACCTAAGAGTCATCTAAACAGTACTGTATAATATTTCCCACTACAATGCATCCCTTGGATACACACAGGGAGCAATATTTGCAGCCATGACAGGCCATGAAGTGCACAGTGGCCAAGTTATAAGTTCAATGCATGGTCCGCCTTCACAGACTTTGTGCGCGTGTAAACAAAAAAATGGGGACTAACGAGTTTAAATGTCAGGTGCTGGTGAGTACACAGAGTGCTTAATGTGTGGATGTAATGTTCATGAAGGTGACCACAAGATGCGCATACAAGTAACAGCCAATGTACCTATGTAGGTTCACAGACAAGAAAGGGATGGATTACAAGAAAGGGACGGAAGGAAAAAGGAGGTATACATTGTACATGATACAGCCCCATATGTTAAGTTAATGTACCAATGCAACAATAGCAAAACCAAAGTAGGGCTCGCAATGTTTATGTACATGAACATGTGCTTATGTAGGCTAGGTACTAATCCAATAGATGCCATAACTGCCGTGGCACCACACTCACACGCGCATCCCTCAGCTTGACGTCGTTTGGCCAATCACGACACCCTATTGGTCAAACAGGCATGTAATGCACGCGTATGTACCACCTGTCCATGAGCATTGCGCCACCACAGTACTTAACAGCTTCTAATTCTGGTTGTCTAACGATGCTGTAAGTGAGATGGCAGAAGAAAAGCGGAGTTACATGTATGTGCCCCTAGTGCCCATCCTGCAAAAGGATCACGATGTCCACACAAGCATGTCCACACACGTACTAGGTAGGACCTCAAGCAACAGCCATTAGTGTACAATAAGAAACAAGTTGCATTTGACTGCTACATACACGTCATCGTGTGCCCGGCAAAAGGTCATAAGCGCGCGCTTACGCCTTTTTGGCCGGGAAGCATGATCACAGCAGAAAAAATGTTCCCGGCAAAAGGGCGTAAGAAACACACGCTCTTTATTTAGTGAAAGCGGATAAAATTTACTGCAAAGTCAACACAGGCTGTATAAAAAAGCAGCCTTTGAGCAACTTATTAAATGACTTAGGTTTTTTTTTTACTTTATGCAAAGAAATCTATATATTTCATTAAAATAAAACAGTTGCATACATGCGTCCTTTTGCCGGGACAAAATTTTCTTTGCAGTGATCATGTTTCCCGGCAAAGAGGCGTAAGCGCTTACGTCCTTCTTCCCGGCACACGACGGCGTGTATTTCCGTGCAACTTTTGAGGGGAGGGGGAGCTGCTCTGTATTAGTAAAAATAAGCTATTGTCAAAAATATGCAAAATGCACATGAGTTCGCGATGATGTGCTCAAGCTCCCTCAATGCAAGATGAGTCTTCTTTTTGGGCGTCATGTGATGTTAAAAGCCCAATGATCCATGGCGACCAAGAAACAGGTTCACATGCTCACAGATTCTCCTACTTGGCTGTCGGAGGGTTTGCGGTCCCACCGCCCCGAGCCGAGATCAGTGCTAGACCCCGATATGGACCAGCGCTTCCTGTCCAAGCCCATGCGGCATTTGAGTGTTTCCCCTAGGTTGCTGGGGAGCTGGCAGGAGAATGAGCGTTGCCTGTCTTGTTGGTGCCTGAACAGATTCATCCTCTTATTCGTAGCTATTGGAAGTCAGATTTACAAATCCGAGTCGATAACACTGTGCTTTCCTGCGAATTCAATCAAAATCTTTTTCTTTTTCTCTTGTGAAATGAGAATTCTACTTGGGTTTGAGGGGGTGGGGGAGAAGACTACGGGCAGGAAATGGCTAAGAGAACATGAGGATCACTCCCCACTGATCCTCCTTGCAGGAGTAGCACCTTTTCATTCCACACTTTCAGAGATTCTCAGAAGAAACCGTGGACGTCAAAATGTTGGTTCACTGACACAGTTAAAGTACATGTACCGTACATAGAATTCATGTGAAAAAAAACCAAACAATCCCCCCAATAAAAAGTTCTAACCTCAGCAAATACACTGCTAGAGCTTGCAACAGTTTGCATTGAAATATGATGGACATTTGTCGAATGTCAGAAAGTAAGAAAGCACAGTTGAAAGTGCAGGTAGATTTTACAGCTAGTAGCATGCCAGCATGAGTAAACAAAACCCAAAACAATTCTACTTGCTAGCCTGTTCATTGAGGCCCTTTAATGTCCTTCTTCACCCACTTTGCCTGACAGAAACAGGAACTTAACATGGAACGGGACAGTTATTCAGTTGCTGATCTCATGGATTTCATTTTGTGATTCATCTGGAAAGTTAAATTAACCCCTTGACAGCAGGAATTTCTTGCCGAAAGCCGACTCCAAGAATTCCAGCCTTGCTTGGCCATGAAGGCCACCTGCCAAACTGCAAATTCTCGGTTTGTGGCCGTGCGTGCTCTGCACGCTTTGAATTACACGGTGAAAAGGCTGATTGTTCGGTGGCATGCAGCTCTACTCACCCTTCCACATTCCCGTTGCCTCTTTTCAAAGTGGGGACTATTGTAAAGCTGGTGATTATGATGCAAATTCGGTCTTTTCATTTCTGGGCTACGCACAAAGACCAATTACCATATGCACAAGAGCCAGGGTGTGCCTTCTTTCACTGTGTTCACTTGAGCGTGGGCCCAGAATAATAGCTGAAAAGCGGGCTGAGGATCTCAATTTTTACAGCGTGTCTTAACGCGTCCCGGCGCAAAGGGGTTAAAAACCCAATCACCCCAGCCACCAAAATAAAAACAACATCAAGAGGGAACATGGGTTAATGAGAACATATTTTCCAGGCAACTTGGGCCTTGGTAAACACTGCCATTGCGAATTACACATACATGTACATTACACAGAGCATCGACTGACGCAACCTTAAAACGAGAATCCTCAGCGTAATTATGCAAACGTTCTGCATTTTTGCAAAGCCAGCGAGGACTACAAGTACATGTAACCTAGCATACTGTACACGATGCGAGTTTGGATACAAATTGATATTATGTCACTGCAACAGACTATGTTAACATACATTAGTCCAGTATATGATATGTACAGTATGAGAAAACAAAAAAGCACATTAACCCACATGTTGTGGAAGTACATGTAATCGGGTGCGAAGAGCGGACTGAAGTGGGCATAGTTTTATTGGTGCACTTGATATCTTAGGTCGAGTTCGGGTGGCCTGTTCTTGACACGGGTTTCTTGTTCTCGGGCTCGAACGGCGGGAACACGACTCAAGAACACTGTTCTTGGAACAGGATCACACACCAACTTCTCGTCAGGGTACAACAGGAACACACGGAAAAACTCGTGAGATTTTGATTTTCGAACAGCTGCAAAAAGGTAGAGAGATGGCTTCCAGAGCCATTGGCAATGGGAAGTTTTGCAAAATTAACATTAATTTTTTTCTGTAACACAGAAATGAATGTTCCTGTTTATATAGAAAAGAATTCAGCCCATCCAAACATCAACTCTCAAATAACGTAGCCTAGGCTACATGGACACTGCTACGTTGCATGTCACTAACTACCAGCGATGTTCCGGGCGTTCCAGCAGCCGACCCACAAACAACAAATTGAGCTGTTCGTGAACATACGGGAACAAACCGCCCGAACTCAGCCTTACTTAAGAGTCAGTGTCATACACAGACCATGTGTGTGAATGTTGGTTAGAGCAGTAAAACAACATCTCTACATGTAACAATCTCTACTCACTGCATGACAGTGCAAATGCAATAGTTATTCTTAATCATGTATTCATTTGTATTCACATCAATTTATATTTAAATGCACTGTATCCATCAGTAAAATGTATTCATCATTAAAATGAAATCATACAAATGAATACATTCTTAATAGACAAACTGTAATGTATCCTACGGTGCATGCCTCCTAACCCATACCTCCAGGGTTCCAGAAGATGTCTCAACTGTATTTAGAAAATGCTCTACAGCAAACAAGGGAGAAAAATGGTGGCCAAATGAGTTTCTTTTATCTGACACAAGAAATTCTCTTGAAGTTAATGCACATACATGTATGACACTCAAAAAAATGTCAACTGTGACCACTCTAACCACGAATTTGGCTTATGTTTCGCTTCCAAATGTCAAATCACTCTTCCTGCAAAGTCTCCCATTCTGGTGCCAAGATGCAAGACTTCCCCCACGTACTGTACATGTTAATGGTCCTTTGAGGTCTACAAAACAGCTGCAAAACCATGGAAACCTACTGTAAATCTTTGGATGTACAGTGCAAGGCCATTTAAATGAATTGCTCGATTCACATCATCATCCATCCCTGATTTTCACACCCGCCCACTTATTTTTATTTTATTCTTTTTCTCTTATTTTTGAACTGTAATTTTTCTCTCAAAAAATGTATTTGTCAGACACATATGTCAGCAAATCAACAGGCACAGTCACACTGAATTCACACACCCACAACAAAATGATCTTAGCGAGATGTTTTGTGTGCAAAACATAAAACTACATACCTGTAGCTACTGATGTGTGATACATACCCACAGAGGACTACAGTGACTCTCAACTTATTCATCATAAATGCTTATACTATACCGGTGCGTCACTGTATAGTCAGAAACCATGACAGGCCAATGTGGTAATACATGTATGCCGTACCGGTATATATACATGTACAATGTAAATGTACATGTATATACATATACATGTACATCGAATGTTGCCCTCAACGCACTTTGGATGAAAAGAAGTCAAATTTACAAAATATAAACACTTGGTGCAGTTTCCTATAAATAAAAAGCAAGTTTATGGAGAAGCCTGGTAACCAATCTAACTTTAAGAGGCGATTAAGTGAATCATATGAACATTTCAGAGTCCAGATTATTCATATTTTTTCATTAAAAGGGAAATGTTGTACAATATTGTACTTTAGGCTGCACCTTTATTGATCATGCCGAGTTATAGTCCATCCAAAAATGTGTACTTCCAATGGCACAAGGTTCCAAGGTTTTGCAACTGTTTTGCAGATCTCAAGAATAGAGTCAAGAATATGGAAAGGGGGCAGGGTATCTTGGCACTGGAATGGGGTTACATAAAATAACAAATGAGCTTCAAATGGTCAGATAAGTTTACATACAATACAATGCATTCCTTTCTTCCAGACACTAGAGTTACTGTACATATACCATACATTACATTTAATTTAGAGAATCATTTTTGTACAATGTAGCAAAGACTATTACATCTTATTATTTCAGTGAAGGTCAACTTACTACAAAAAAAGAACAAGTTGAAAAGGTAAGAGTTTCATGTACATGTACAGACATCACTTTCTTTTTTTCCTGAAAGTGGTATATCAGCCATCAGGAAGTGGTAACATTTCTGAAATAGTGTCAGTTTTAGCTGGGGATAGGCCTACATGTAAGGTGTTTACTTAGAAAATCGTTCACACTTTCAGACTAGTTTCATAGTCTATTCCTTCCTCCAATGAATGGGGATTGTGCACATGGTGTCAAGGGATGTTGGTATAAATGGGAACTCTTTCCATTGAAAAGACACAAATCATAGTATTTCCAGTCTTTGTTACAAATTTGAAAATTTGTTGATGACTCTAAATGAACATTGTATAGCCTAACTATCCCCAGAACTGTGGGGTCCGACATCCACCCCGCTCCCACGAACTCCAAAGAAAATGATATGTTTTCGCCATAGGTTCTACATGACATTTAACAGGGCACAAACGGGGATTTTATTCTAATTGTGTACCCATAGAAATGCTGCTTTATTTCCCCAATGAGTTCTATGTATGGTAGCTTACATATCTTTGTACTTTGTACCAAGAAAAACAGGCCTAAACCATGCCGTTTTCAAAAAAGGTGCAAATATTTCCCGATCAGTGTCCGAGAGTCATGCGGTTCACATGTGCACTTGCAAAGACGAGCCGCAACCAAATGGTTGACTACGGCTGCAATCGATACACAAGACATGGAAATTGGCTGCAGCCGCTTTCCGCTGCCTGTCCACATCCACGTGCGGCCTCAACAGAAAGTGTTCATGTGCACTGGTACCCAACGGCTGTTGCTTGTCGTTCCCGCAATTTGGGCATAAATAATGAAGCGCCCTGTGACTGGTCAGTGTGATCCCCAGCGCGCCACAACCAACTGCCATTTCAATCATTCAGTCCAGTTGTGGCTAAGAATTACACACACACGTACGGAAAGCGGCTGCAGCCAATTTACATGTCCTGTGTATCGGTTGCAGCCATAGTCAACTATTTGGGGGAAATGGCTGCTCAGCATTTCTATTTGGGTACACAACCAGAATAAAATCCCTGTTCGTGCCCAGTTAAACATCATGTAGAGCCTTTGGGGTTCGTAGGACCAGGACGGATCGGATGTTGGACTCCACAGTTCTGGGAGTAAAGCCCAACTTCATGTACATGTACAAAATCAGATAAGCTTTGTACTTTGTAGGCCCATAATGATGGCATCTTGAAACACGGAATTTAACTTTAATCTAAATTAAACCATGGAGGAAACTAGAGGAGTTTTTCAGTTTTGTGTACCGGAATGGTACATCCTGACGTGTGGATGTACATGTAAGCAGAAATGATATCCATCGTGATCTAAGGAGTTTTTCAATTTCTCAAAAACAACTTTGATGATACACCCGTAAACAGGGACCTTCGTACAGGCCTACTACATGTATATGAAAGGCCTTGTTTATATTATGGGTCTACATCAAGGAGGGCATGCACTGCTTTACTTGGCCTATTTTGGGATTTGTAAATTGTAGGGCCTACACCCAAAACATTCACACTGACCCGTAAAGTTAAACGGATCCCCCATACCATTCTCGATTCCGCCATAGGCCTAAATGCAGCAGCTACTCTGCACTCTCATCTACAAACAAAGTCTCGGTACTCCACTGGAGATAAACATCCTACAGTAGTTAGTTCCTACCCCAAAACATACATACCTTGGACACCTATATGACTTCGTATAAAAGACGAGAGTTAAATAGCGATTTCGAGGATTCACTTGACTTCCATGATGTGATGATGTTTGTTTCAAAAAGTACAATAATAGGCCTACATTTGTCGTACATGAGTACTACTACAGCACTAGTACTGCGTTTCGAGTACTGGATCTGAACTATACTAGCGTTCGTAGTGAACAGCGCCCTCCCTTGAAAATAAATTGCTGGTTTTTATTCCAGGCGTTTTAATTTAAAGAGGAGGGGGCTTCGCCGTAATACATAAATTTCATCTCCGTCTCCGGCTTTGCCTTCGTTTCAACCCCCACTCTTTCTAGTTGTGAGCTTCATAATAAACCATTTATTGCCACTTTAACAGTTAACCATGTGGTGTCGATCCAAACATCGAACCATTTCCATAATTTGTTTATTTATTCTTTTAATATAATACTAATTCAATGTATGGGCAAGAAGCGGGTATCGAATATGGAAGCAAATCCCGACACGGAAACCAAATCAAATATTAGATAACACCCAGAAGGTCACTTGCTTTTTCCAAAAAAAATCCTCTGAGTATTTAGGTGCGACAAAAATGATGGACAGGGTCCTCAATCAAATTTTTAGTCGGGGTTAAAACGCCCTCTAAAGCTTCGAATACATTATTGTGGAGTGTGCTTTGATGCCCTGCAGTGGTATCTCGATATCTTGGTGTCCTGATATATATTTACGTCTTGATGTCTTGCTGTCATGAATGTCTTGATTTTTAGGTGTCTTGATATTTTGGTGTCTCGGAATCAATCTAGACACCAAAATGGCAAGTTACCCAAACACCAAGATGATAAGTAATCAAACCATCATGACACCGAACAACAGAAATATCAAGACAGCAAGAAATCAAGACATCAGGACATCTAAATACCATGCTGCGGACCCATGGGGAGGTATCGTTGATCTATCCTTCAAGATTAAATTATGAAGTTCTCAGTGAAGGCTAAATTTTATAAAATATTTGGAGGATGAAAGATTTTAATGAAATGTTGAGTAAATCACGTTTGTGTGATAATAAGAAAGTCATTCAAACCGTGGAAAGATACTGAATGTGTTTATCAAAATTTATGTTTTATAGCTTATTTTCAAACTTGTATGCACATAATGTAGCTGTATATTCATTTCTGTTTTTGAGATCCTACTTTTTCTGGTAAGATGACAAATTTTTTTTTTTGTATATATTATGGGATTTCAAGCT